TGAACACTGCTACTGCCATACACAACACACACACGCACCTGTAACAGACTGACGGTGACGCCTACAGACGGTAGTACTTACATACGGTAACCTTGTCTTCACCTGGTTTCAAAGGACGAATCTGCATTTAGATCCAGCAGAAGGCGAAGATTGTACCGATACAAGCCTGAAATACATCTCTGATCACTGACCACATCACACTGGTCATACTGTAAAAAAGATTTGGTTCCCCCATAGTAAAAGTTCCGGTGGAACTTTTCATTCCAACATTTGTTCCTGTAATAGTGCATGCGGAACAATTATTTCGTTCCGCACACAGAATTTATTCCGGGTAAAGAGGAACTTCCACACACATCATAAAGTGTCTTAAAGAGGGTTTTGTTTGTTGGGGTGGTCTTAAAAATTGAGGCGTGGGGGGAACGGAAAGGAAAAAAAGATTTCCTACAGTATTTGTTCCATATGGAACACATCATGTGGCTATCAAGAAGCAATTATCATGTGTGAAACTTCCTTAATTTCTTTTATGAAAATACATTGTAGATTCCCCAGAATCCGAACTGATGATTCTAAATGAATCTTGTGTTAAAAAGAGTTCAGTTATTATGTAACCAAGTTACCTTCATTAATCAGGTTACAGCCAGTAGCCAGGTTACAGTCAACATGTAACCAAGTTACAGTCAGTAGCCATGTTGCAGTCAACATGTAACCAATTAACAGTCAGTAGCCAGGTTACAGTCAACATGTAACCAGGTTACAGTCAGTCAGTAGCCAGGTTACAGTCAACATGTAACCAATTAACAGTCAGTCAAAAGCCAGGTTACAGTCAACATGTAACCAATTAACAGTCAGATGCCAGGTTACAGTCAACATGTAACCAATTAACAGTCAGTCAAAAGCCAGGTTACAGTCAACGTGTAACCATGTTACAGTCTGTCAAAAGCCAGGTTACAGTCAACATGTAACCAAGTTACAGTCAGTAGCCAGGTTACAGTCAACATGTAACCAAGTTACAGTCAGTCAGTAGCCAGGTTACAGTCAACATGTAACCAATTAACAGTCAGTCAAAAGCCAGGTTACAGTCAACATGTAAACAAGTTACAGTCAGTCAAAAGCCAGGTTACAGTCAACATGTAACCAATTAACAGTCAGTCAGTAGCCAGATTACAGTCAACATGTAACCAAGTTACAGTTAGTCAGTAGCCAGGATACAGTCAAACTGTAACCAAGTGACAGTTAGTCAGTAGCCAGGTTACAGTCAACATGTAACCAAGTTACAGTCAACATGTAACCAAGTTACAGTCAGTCAGTAGCCAGGGTACAGTCAACATGTAACCAAGTTACAGTCAGTCAGTAGCCAGGTTACAGTCAACATGTAACCAATTAACAGTCAGTCAGTAGCCAGATTACAGTCAACATGTAACCAAGTTACAGTTAGTCAGTAGCCAGGTTACAGTCAACATGTAACCAAGTGACAGTTAGTCAGTAGCCAGGTTACAGTCAACATGTAACCAAGTTGAAGTTAGTAGACATCCCGGATGTTGACAAGTTGGATGAGTGCATTTTGCATTCAATAATGACTGGAATTGGGGACTTGTGTTGATGTGGCACACAATACATTTAATGGCTAGCTTGTCCGTTGTCAACCAGGCGATGGAGGCGCCATTGATCCGCCATTACATGACTAGACGAAACGTTTACGCATCGCGCAGGGGAAGATGTTCTAGTTTTCCCGAAGCATGCAGAAATTACCCAGGCCTTGCGAATGATCACATTTTGAAACAACGTCGATGATTGCACAATTAAATCTGATTGCAACCAATCGCGAATCCTGAACACTCGCACCATGAAAGTGCTGTATTAGAACAGAGGTTCGTAGGGAGATATGACAAGTGACCTCTGTGGGAAGAGAATGTACTGGAACGGGATTCACTAGCTTCACTCGCTCCCGTCCAGCAAACAATGTACTGAGGCGGCAGTTGCTTACATAATGTGAACATTGTTCATCGAACCCTACAGTACCATAACTCCGTCGTTCCGATATCATGTGCGACTTCTACTACGGCTAATTCAACTGCAGCTAAAACTGAAGTTACTACAACTTAAGTAACGAATATTGTTGCTACAACTACTACAACTAATTGCGCCGAACGACTACTTAAATGTGGCTCTCCCGGCAATGCGCTATTAGCTAATCCGTTTTACCGTGAAGGTGAAATATTCATTATGTATAATCTAGAAATCCAGATGAATTGTTCTAGGAAAAAAGCCCAGATCATGCAAACTAGCTGCCTCACGTAGGTATACTCAAACCCCGTTTACGAATTAGCTATGGTTGCCTCAGTTGTTATGTTTACATTTATGCAACAACAACAAAAATAAATATAAAAACCTAATTTAGAAGAATGATCATTTATTGCACAAATATACTTATAAACAGCCACATATGTGACGCCTAACTCTTTCCATTTCAGAGCTGTTTTTAAGCAAAATTCGTGTCCAAACTTCTCTGCTGATACGATATACCAATCATACAAAAAAATACAACTGGAGTTTTTTAAGAGCAAAGGCTGAAATTGCCCTTTTCCATAGAATGACCCATTAGCATGTATCATTTTATCTCAGAACATATGTTATCATATGTTAACTAAAAACTTCAACCAGAATAAATACGTTAACTAAAAACTTCAACCAGCTTAAAGAAGCCGCCCATCATATGTTAACTAAACAAACAAAGGACAAGTCACTAAGGGCCTATTCGATTATGCTTAACCGGTTTTGGTTTCTGGAAAACCATGCACTCGATTATGTCGAAACCTAAAACTGGGTTCTGAAACTTCGAAACCATCTCCGAGGAAGGATTCGCAGTTTCGGTTTCGCGTTCCCTCACAACAAACATGGCGGAAACGAAGTTCAGCTAATCTTGGTGGCAAGATAGAGCAGCAGTTTCTGTAACCAAAACAATGATAAAAATCAACTGAGAACTAGGAAAATATTATTTAAAACCCCAGTCTATTGAACATGACTATTTTATGTAACTTGTATACATATAATTGCTTGTTACAGTATAATTACATATACGCAAATATTTACTTCCAAAAGCATCTCATCTCTTTATTATTTGTTCATTCCCTGATAAAATGACAAAAAATATTACCTTCGGCAATGCTGTCATCCAATTCCTTCCACATATATAGTAGCTGAGACATTATTTTGCATCCATTTTGAAACCGGATGGTGAAACCATCCACTCGTTCATAAAACTGGAAACTAGTTTCACTTTGAAACCATGTATCCGAAACAGGACACTCGTTTATAACAGGAGAAACCAGTTTCAGAAACCAAAACCAGTTTCGCAATAATCGAACAGGCCCTAAGACAATTGGTGACACTAATTTGTAAAAAACCCGGTATTGATTCCCTTACTCAATGTGGCGGCACCGAGGTTTGTACTTGAAATGTGGCTTTAGCGGCAATTGGTAGTTTTCAAATGTGGCTTTCCCGGGCAGACACCACTAATGACCCGTGAAGATCCGGGATAGAATTGGTCTTCAGTAACCCGTGCAAGTTAGAGGTGACTACCGGGATCGGGTGGTCAGGCTCGCTGACTTGGTTGACACATGTCATCGTATCCAACTTGCGTAGTTTGATCCTCATGGAGTTGATCACTGGATTGTCTGGTCCACATCCGATCATTTACAGACCGCCGCCATATAGCTGGAATATTGCCGAGTGTGGCGTAACTCTAAACTCACTCACTCACTACAGTTGTTGCTACTAGCCATGCATGCGTTGGATCACTAGGCATCAATTAAACGCTATAAATTACATTTATAATAAATATCTAATCGAGGCATCTGATCATATTATATGACCGTTTTATCCCCTGACACCACACACAATTTCTTATAGTGACCAAAATTGACAAACATGTATTTCTCAAGGTTGATAACCACAATGCTGACCCATGATTTGCCAGAGAAATGCACATGTACCTGGGACAAAAAACGCCTAAAAAACTAAGACGCGAAACACCCACGAGTTGCTATCTATAGGTGGTAAACTGCACCCTTGTCGATGTAACTCCAGCTCGACCTTTGAGGGGAACGCGCGCCACCTGCTGATGTTGACGGAACATAATGACGTGAGATAGGTCGCCAGGTCGGAGACTCCTTGACCGGAGCTCGTCAGCTGACGCTGGTGATGACAGCGATGACAGTAGTCAGTAAAATGTCTGGTTTCTTTATTTGAACCAATAAAATAAGCTAGTTTAATCTTCATGGCGTAGAACATACAGTGCTTACTATTTTTCGTTGTTTGTTTGTTGTTTTAGTCAGTACTCAGCAATATTCCAGCTATATCACGGCTGTCTGGAAATAATTTGTTATGGACCAGACAATCCAGTGATCATCATACTAAAACCGGTCTACACAAGTGAGTTTTGATAAGAGGTAACGTGTAACTGAATAAGCCTTACCAATCAATCCATACGACCCGAGTTCGGTTTCCTCACTGGATATAATCATGTGTGAAGCCCCTTTCTGAAGTTATCTAAAAATACCGGGGCCTGTGTTTTCAAACACCGACCCTTTCACCTTTTAACTTCCCCACCGTGAAAATGTCGCAATTAAAATATTTCTGTCTTAAACCCACATTTAAACGGTAGCATTTACCCACAGACGAGTGAAGGTCAAGCAGGCTTGTCAACACAGCGGTCTGTGGCGAATATTTACACGCCTCTCGGCTCCGAGGACATAAAGTTGAAACAGGGAAGTGCGGATTGCATTCACCGACATTCCGGGAACAGGTAACAGCTGTTACTAGCTGCTCTCTCGACATTAAAGCAAAAACCTCTTCGGTCGTGGTAATACAAACTACATCAAAAGCTTTAATAACTTCAAAAACAGTTGTCTTCTGAAGAAAACTATCGCGACTTCAAAAGTTCAGAAACTTAGTGTCGAAATCGACATCATCCTCGTGATTCAAGGGTTATTTTCACAACCATGAGGGAAATACTTCACATTCAGGCAGGTCAGTGCGGAAACCAGATCGGGACCAAATTCTGGGAGGTCATTTCCACGGAACACGGAATTGATGCCTCCGGGTCCTACAACGGTGACTCCGACCAGCAACTGGAGCGGATAGACGTCTACTACAACGAGGGTCAAGGCGGGAAGTACGTCCCGAGATGCATCCTGCTCGATCTGGAACCCGGAACTATGGATTCCATCCGGTCCGGACCTTTCGGAAACCTTTTCCGACCGGACAACTTCGTGTTCGGCCACAGCGGTGCCGGAAACAACTGGGCGAAGGGGCATTATACGGAAGGAGCCGAACTGGTGGATAGCGTTCTCGATGTTCTCCGAAAAGAGGCGGAAAATTGCGATTGTATCCAGGTAAATGAAATAAGCGTGTTTTCTTTGTAGCAGTGGTACGAGGGAGGAACAATTTGGAGTAGTTTCTAAATTTCCAACGTTGCCAATTCCACGATCTCAAAGCAGAAATCCGTAAAAACGATGAACAGATAAACTTTGGACGGTGTCTTAACAACCCACTAAATTTGTATAGCGATTTTGGCATCGTTTGTATGTTACAATACGGGAGATGTACCTGGGTCGCTTTGAAGAACCGGTTCGTAGTAAACAACAGGTCTTTTCTTCACAGGAGTCTTGGGGAGAAATAGAAGATTAGTGGGGCCGAAGGCCCGGGTTCGATTCCCATGGCCACATGGCTACCATGTTTTGCTGTCCCACGGTCATATTGCTTAAATATATATAAGTGCTGCGTGAAAACACACAGTGACGAACGAACTTTCGAAGTATCTGAGTTCTACGACTACCGTAGTCTCATATATACTGAGAGAAACAAATAAAGGATCACAGGAAAATTCAAGCATTGCTCAAATATTTTCCAGTTTTCATCACCTGATTTGAATAGCGCTGTGGAGATGAAAACTGGAAAATTATGCAGGAACGCTTGAATTTTCCTGTGAGCTTTTATTTGTTTCTCTGAGTATATATTGTTAGATCGCTTTGAGGAACTAGTTCTCGGTTAGCGTCAAAGAACAGTAGGGCGTATAGTGGCTTTAACCGGCTGCCCCAACTCACGTTCGTTCACATAGACACATCTATAGTCTTGGACCAAGCTTTGTACCCCTTTATCCCGTCCTCACCAGCAATCTGAGCGAATGATCCCAAAGAGTAAAACAGATTTATGCGGATCGTAGCGTAAACTCATTCTGTGGTACTACCACAGTGAGGCTGACAATGAGCGGTCTGACAACAGGTCCAGGTCCCCGTTTCACAAATCTATCGTAGCGTTACGACTGTCGTAAGTCTATGTTACAGTATAGGAGGTACGACAGTCGGAGCACTACGACTGTCGTACGTCTATGTTACAGTATAGGAGGTACGACAGTCGGAGCGCTACGACTGTCGTACGTCTATGTTACAGTATAGGAGGTACGACAGTCGGAGCACTACGACTGTCGTACGTCTATGTTACAGTATAGGAGGTACGACAGTCGAACACTACGACTGTCATAAGTCTATGTTACAGTATAGGAGGTACGACTGTGGTAAGCTACGACTGTGGTAAGTCTATGTTACAGTATAGGAGGTACGACAGTCGGAGCGCTACGACTGTCGTAAGTTTATGTTACAGTATAGGAGGTACGACAGTCGGAGCGCTACGACTGTCGTAAGTCTATGTTACAGTATAGGAGGTACGACAGTCGGAACGCTACGACTGTGGTAAGTCTATGTTACAGTATAGGAGGTACGACAGTCGGAGCGCTACGACTGTCGTAAGTCTATGTTACAGTATAGGAGGTACGACTGTGGAAAGCTACGACTGTCGTACGTCTATGTTACAGTATAGGAGGTACGACAGTCGGAGCGCTACGACTGTCGTAAGTCTATGTTACAGTATAGGAGGTACGACTGTGGAAAGCTACGACTGTGGTAAGTCTATGTTACAGTATAGGAGGTACGACAGTCGGAGCGCTACGACTGTCGTAAGTTTATGTTACAGTATAGGAGGTACGACAGTCAGAGCGCTACGATAGCTTTAGGAAACGGGGCCTTGGGCCCCCTTACTTAACACGACCTACATGTAGGCGCAAAGGTGATCATAACTTCGATATTTTATCACAGGATTACGATTGTCGTTGCGCTCGCTTTATAGAACTGCCCTACGCTATTTTACGTGACTCTCTGAACGTCTGCGTTTCAGGGGTTCCAACTGTCTCACTCCCTGGGAGGGGGGACGGGCTCCGGCTTGGGGACGCTCATCTGCAGCAAGATCCGGGAGGAGTATCCAGACAGGATCATGAATACCTTCTCGGTCGTGCCCTCCCCTAAGGTAAGACAGGATCATGAATACCTTCTCGGTCGTGCCCTCCCCTAAGGTAAGACAGGATCATGAATACCTTCTCGGTCGTGCCCTCCCCTAAGGTAAGACAGGATCACATCGTCATCAAGCAACCGTTATCATCACTTCCCCAGTCCCAAGTGGTTACCGGTACTGTGAATGAGTGAGTTTAGTTTTACGCAGCACTCAGCAATATTTCAAATATATGGCGGCGATCTCTATCTATCTATCTATCTATCTATCTATCTATCTATCTATCTATCTATCTATCTATCTATCTATCTATCTATCTATCTATCTATCTATCTATCTATCTATCTATCTATCTATCTATGGAAAAACTTATATAGCGCCATATCCATAAATAAACTGCTCTGCGGCGCTTGAGACTCTGATGGAAAGTTAGATGTTGTATGCTTCACGGAAGTAATGAGTCTTTAGCTGTGATTTGAATGAGTCCAGGTCGTGGTTAGATCTCAGGTGTTGTGGGAGTTGATTCCACAAGTTTGGTCCGGCAATTTGAAAACAACGGCTGGTGATGCGACTGGTTTTTAGTGCAGGTGGCTGAAGGAGAAACTGGTGAGAGGATCGAAGAGATCTGACAGGTTGATATCTGGTTATCATGCTGGAGAGATACTGAGGGGCTTGTTTGTGGAGACACTTGAAGACAAGCAGGACAACTTTGTATTTGATCCGCTGTGGCACTGGCAACCAGTGTAGATGTTGGAGAATTGGTGTGATGTGATCATGTCTCGCTGTTCTTGTTGCGACTCGGGCTGCTGAGTTTTGTACAACTTGTAAGTTCCTGATCAGACATGATGGCAAACCTTGCAGGAGTGAGTTACAGTAGTCAATGCGTGACAACACACAGGCATGGACCAAGGAGATGGCGGTTCTTTTGTTCATGTACTTTCGTACCAAGGCAATGTTACGGATATGAAAATAAGATTTCCTGCAGACAGAGTTTATGTGAGACTCAAGTGTCATGTTTGCATCGAAAATGACACCGAGATTTCGGGCCTGTTTGCTTGGGCTGATCTTATGGTTGCCGATGTGGAAGTCTGGTAATACAATGTCGTGACACGAATGTTTGGGCATTATGGTAAGAAACTCGGTTTTTTCTCCATTCAGCTTTAGATAATGGGATGTCATCCATTGTTTTATCTCGTCAATGCATGTTTCCAGCACTGTGAAGGTGACAGAAATGGATGCTTTCACCGACGGTTTGAATGCCATGTATAGCTGAGTGTCGTCTGCGTACAGATGGAACGAGAGTCCATGTGATCGTGCGATGTCACCGAGTGGTGAAGTGTAGATGGTGAACAGAATGGGCCCTAACACTGAGTCATGCGGCACACCATACAGCAAATCTGATGAGTCAGTGGTGAAGTGTAGATGGTGAACAGAATGGACCCCAACACTGAGCCTTGCGGCACACCGTACAGCAAATCTGATGTGTCAGTGGTGAAGTGTAGATGGTGAACAGAATGGGCCCAAACTCTGAGCCTTGCGGCACACCGTACAGCAAATGTGATGAGTCAGTGGTGAAGTGTAGATGGTGAACAGAATGGACCCCAACACTGAGCCTTGCGGCACACCGTACAGCAAATCTGATGAGTCAGTGGTGAAGTGTAGATGGTGAACAGAATGGACCCCAACACTGAACCTTGCGGCACACCGTACAGCAAATCTGATGAGTCAGTGGTGAAGTGTAGATGGTGAACAGAATGGACCCCAACACTGAGCCTTGCGGCACACCGTACAGCAAATCTGATGAGTCAGTGGTGAAGTGTAGATGGTGAACAGAATGGACCCCAACACTGAGCCTTGCGGCACACCATACAGCAAATCTGATGACCCGGAGGAATGACCATCAGTGACAACAACCCAGAGCTTGAATCAAACCAACCCAGAGCTTGTCCAGTGATCCCTATTCTGGTTTGCAAGATGTCAAGCAACATGCGATGATCAATGGTGTCAAATGAAGCTGACAGGTCTAAAAGAACAAGAACGGCTGCTCCGGTCAAACCCACTGCTACCAGGATGTCACTTTGAGAAGGGCGGTTTCAGTACTGTGATATTCACGGCTTGCTGATTGCAGTGGTTCAAGATGGCTGTGAGTGGTGAGATGTTCTTTCAATCTTGCAGCAACCACACGCTCAAGGACTTTGGACATAAAAGAAAAATTAGAGGATCGGGTGATCTGTAGATAATCAAGCCTGGAGCAGACAATCCAGTGATCAACAGCACACACACGCGTGCATGCACGCACGCACACACACGCAAACACACACTTTGTTCCCTTGTGCAAGCGAGCACATACAAACTAGAGCAAGTACACAGTCGCGAGTATGCACAACGCTGCATAAGTGCAACCATGTTGATCACGGCGTTGAGCCCCAGTTCACCTCAGCTACGATAAACACCCAAGTGTTGCCCCTTGTATTTGTTTTTGTGAGTTTCGTAGGAAAGGACCCTTCTCCTGTTTGGCCGTCAACACACGAACCTCGATTAGCACACTCCCAGCGGGGACCGTGTCAAAAACAGTAAATCTAACTAAAGATCACTCATGTTGTTTGATAATTAATTACCTGTTATAAAGTAGATTCCATTTCGCAATCAGACCTGGCCATAAGGAAAGCAAAGTTCTATGGATAGTCAACTTCTTTATTGCAATGAATGCGACGCTTCGGTGTAGGTACTATGACAACCGTTACCAAGCAACCGTTATCATCACTTGCTTGATAACGGTGTTAGTGAGGTGAGGTGAGTTGAAATTGGGTTTAACGTCGTGCTTGAGAATATTTCGCTCATATGACGACGTGCATGCGTGTGTATGTGTATGTGCGGTCGCTTGTACTAGCCCAGACTGAAGCTGGTTTTATAGTGCTAGCCCACTGAGATACCGCAGTGAAGCATGAATACCCCACCCAGACACATTACACTGATTCCGAGCCGACCAGTCCTTGTTGTACCCATTAATGCCGAGCGCCAGGCAGGGACCAACAAGTACCATATTTTAACGTCTTTTGGTATGACGCGGTCGGGGAACGAACTGGCGACCTTCCGCTCTCCGGGTGGACGCTCTGTAATCGCAGATCGATGTTCATGCTGTTGATCACTGGATTGTCTGGTCCAGACTCGATTATTTACAGACCGCCGCCATATAGCTGGAATATTGCTGAGTGTGGCGTAAAACTAAACTCACTCACTCACTCACTATAGTATTGCAAAAAGCGGCATTAAAAGCATATTCATTCAGCGTTTGTGAATAACAGAGCCATGATCATCGGCTCTCAATGCGGAGATCTCTCTGTGTTTTGTTTTGTTTACCTAGCAATATTCCAGCTGCATGGCGGCGGTTTGTAAATATTCGAATCTGGACCAGACAATCCAGTGATCAATAGCCTGCACCCTCCATGTAACGTGTGTGTTGCACTTTAAAATACAATTCAACGTTTGACACGCTCCCTTGTTTCGCGAGAGGGTGCCGCTTGCCTGTTAGCGGGACGACAACACAAGTAAATATCTGGTTTCGCGAGTTGTGTACAAGTGAGACAAGGAATGTTACAACTCCCGGTGAATAAGGTGTTTTACGCTAACAGATTACCCTCGATCTCACACTTTCAGAAAGGAGAGTATGGATGTTCAACACTCTCTTATTTGACCTTTTAACAGTTGTTTTTATTGAATACACAATGCTATTTAGAGGCTGAATGAGTGTTAGAAAACTGAAATCCGAAAACGGTTTGATGTTTTCATTTTAAGAAGAAATAAACTGTTTAGTTATACATGAACTGTTGAGTTGTCGAGCTTTACATCACCCACAGGTCAAGATACAGATATTAGGTGGGAGTTCAGAAAGTACCAGTACAATGCTATTATTGCAAAGACGTTGCTGGAAGACGTAACGAGCGCTTCTAACGGAACTAAATTTCGCACAGAAATAATACAGTGAGTGAGTGAGTATTGTTTTACGCCGCTTTTAGCAATATTCCAGCAATATCACGGCAGGGGAAACCTGAAATGGGCTTCACATATTTCACCTATGTGGGGAATCGAACCCTGGTCTTCGGTGTGAGGCATTTAGAAGTTGGAACAGTAAGAAAAGCTAACAATATATGGATGAACAACTTCTGTATTGCAGTGAAAGCAAGTGTAGGTTCAAACAGGGGCGGTGGGGTAGCCTAGTGGTTAAAGCGTTGGCTCGTCACGCCGAAGATCCGGGTTCGATTCCCACATGGGCACAATGTGTGAAGCCCATTTCTGGTGTCCCCCTGCCGTGATATTGCTGGAATATTGCTAAAAGCGGCGTAAAACTAAACTCAGTCAGTCAGTCAGTCAGTCAGTCAGTAGGTTCTAACACCTTTATCAAGCAAGTGATGAACAGAATACAGATTGAGAGGCTTATATACAAGTGTGGGCAAGTGGTAATGCAAAACAGTGGGAATTAGCATGTGGAAGCTATAGTTAAGTGTAATAATGATACAACGTCCAGGACTGACAAAACACTGTTCACAGCTGTTATCAATGTGTTGCAGTTCTTGTCAATGTGTTGCAGTTCTTGTCAATGTGTTGCAGTTCTTGTCAATGTGTTGCAGTTCTTGTCAATGTATTGCAGTTCTTGTCAATGTATTGCAGTTCTTGTCAATGTGTTGCAGTTCTTGTCGTCATTGTATTGCAGTTCTTGTCAATGTGTTGCAGTTCTTGTCGTCATTGTGTTGCAGTTCTTGTCAATGTGTTGCAGTTCTTGTCAATGTATTGCAGTTCTTGTCAATGTATTGCAGTTCTTGCAGTTCTTGTCGTCATTGTATTGCAGTTCTTGTCAATGTGTTGCAGTTCTTGTCAATGTGTTGCAGTTCTTGTCAATGTGTTGCAGTTCTTGTCAATGTGTTGCAGTTCTTGTCAATGTATTGCAGTTCTTGTCAATGTGTTGCAGTTCTTGTCAATGTATTGCAGTTCTTGTCAATGTATTGCAGTTCTTGTCAATGTATTGCAGTTCTTGTCGTCATTGTGTTGCAGTTCTTGTCAATGTGTTGCAGTTCTTGTCAATGTGTTTCAGTTCTTGTCAATGTGTTGCAGGTATCCGACACGGTCGTCGAGCCATACAACTCCACACTTTCTGTCCACCAACTGGTTGAGAACACCGACGAGACCTACTGCATCGACAACGAAGCTCTCTACGACATCTGCTTCAACACGTTAAAGCTGACCACGCCCACGTATGGTGACCTCAACCATCTTGTGTCTGTCACCATGTCCGGGGTGACCACCTGTCTCCGATTCCCTGGTCAATTAAACGCCGATCTTCGTAAACTGGCTGTCAACATGGTGCCCTTCCCTCGCCTGCACTTTTTTATGCCAGGGTTCGCTCCCCTTACGTCCAGACACAGCCAATCATATCGCGCACTGACCGTACCGGAACTGACGACACAGATGTTTGACGCTAAGAACATGATGGCGGCCTGTGATCCCCGTCATGGCCGTTACCTTACTGTAGCCACCATATTCAGGGGCCGCATGTCCATGAAGGAGGTCGATGAACAGATGCTCAACGTCCAGAACAAGAACAGCAGCTACTTCGTTGAATGGATCCCCAACAACGTCAAGACCGCCGTCTGTGACATCCCACCACGTGGTCTGAAGATGTCTTCAACCTTCATCGGCAACAGCACTGCCATCCAGGAGCTGTTCAAGCGCATCTCCGAGCAGTTCACCGCTATGTTCCGTCGTAAAGCTTTCCTCCATTGGTACACTGGCGAGGGTATGGATGAGATGGAGTTCACGGAGGCCGAGTCTAACATGAACGACTTGGTGTCGGAGTACCAGCAGTACCAGGACGCGGAGGTAGACGAAGAGGACGAGTTTGAGGACGAGAGGGGGGAGGCTGACGAGGCGGAGTAGGTGGGGCTTATGGACAAATGGTTCTTTGGGCGTGGTTACAGGGAAGTGAAGTTACTGGGTTTAGTTTTACGCCACTTTTAGCAATATTTCTACAATATCACGGCGGGGGACACCAGAAATGGGCTTCGCATATTGTATCCATGTGGGAAATCGAATCCGGATTTTCGGTTTGAAGAGCGAACATTTGAAGCACTGGGCTACCCCACCGCCCGGTGATTACAAGAAGAGTTGATAAGTTGTTTGAGGTGGTGTGGGACGGGAAGGGGAGCATTAGATGGAGGATAGTGGCATTATATGGAGGATGGTGGCATTATATGGAAGATGGTGGCATTATATGGAGGATGGTGGCATTATATGGAAGATAGTGGCATTATATGGAGGATGGTATATGGATGGTGGCATGGAGGATAGTGGCATTATATGGAGGATAGTGGCATTATATGGAGGATGGTGGCATTATATGGAAGATGGTGGCATTATATGGAGGATGGTGGCATTATATGGAAGATAGTGGCATTATATGGAGGATGGTGGCATTATATGGAGGATAGTGGCATTATATGGAGGATGGTGGCAGTGGCATTAGATGGAGGATAGTGGCATTATATGGAGGATGGAGGCATATGGAGGATAGTGGCATTATATTGAGGATAGTGGCATTATATTGAGGATAGTGGCATTATATGGAGGATAATGGCATGGAGGATGGTGGCATTAAATGGAGGATAGTGGCATTATATGGAGGATAGTGGCATTATATGGAGGACCTAGTGGAGTGGGTGTCGGGAATATTTCTAGGAAAGTGTAGTGGAGGTATAGCGGATAGTTGAAGATCATTATGGTTGAAATGGCGTATATTATTAGTTACATGGCGTTTTGAAAGGGTGTACGGAACTGACCAATCAGAATTCGACAAATTTATCTTAAGGTTAATGAAGACCCGCATAAAGAACGGGGAGTTGAAGAACTGGTAGATTGGTGATTAAGGGATTGTAGGGTGGGTGTGGTGCAGGTTTTTATATAGAGGGTGTCAATAATGACATATACTTGTGTCTATTTAAATCACGAATGTTTTCTATTTCTCTTTATCACACTTACGACATACCGGAGGTGGATTTGATGTGTTATTGTTTTTATCATTATTATTTGAAAAGTTTATAGTTATTTCTGTTTGATATAATTTAGAGATGTTTCTGTTTCCGTTCAGTTAAACGTTGAAGCGCGCGCGCGTGTGTGGGGGGGGTGGGGGTGGGGGTGGGGTGGGGGGTGGAGAATGAAAAGCTGTAAATGGAAGCGACAAAATCCTTTCCAGGCCCATATGAAAGGTCTGCTATAAGCAGCGTCGAGCCTAACTTATTTGTTATATTTTCCTTGCGGCTCCAATTGGTAGAATCCTTTTAGATAAAAATGATCCGTCTATGTCGAAATTTAATAATCACGATGTACAAAACAATATGGATGGTGGTATATTGTTTGAGCGCTAGAATTTCGTATTGGTGCTATTGAAATTGTGAAACATACCTTATTGTATATAACCGTTTGTTGTCAGCAATGTTGTGATGATATGTGTATGTAATACGTTATCACCTGTATGTTGAAGCTGGGGCCCGTCTCTAATATTGGCGACGCGCAAAGGAGACCGGGAACCATTGTAAGTTGGGATGTGTACATGGTGTTTATTGGGAGAGTATATATTATTAATATATATATATATATATATATATATTTATAATATATATATTATGATTACACAATGCCATTTAGAAAGTGGTCAAATGTAACATATGTTATATTTGGGATAACACATTCTTAGTAAAGTACAAATTCTAGTACTTTGGGGGTTAAGTCCAATCCGGGATTCGAACTCTGAGGGTGTGGGTTCGAATCCCGGATGGGCCTCAACCCCAAAAAGTACTAGAATTTGTACTTTACTAAGAAAGTGTTATCCCACATATAACATATGTTAGAATATATATAACTATATAATTCACAGGGGCAACATCTGAAATTTACCAGGAAAGCATTATGGAAACTGTTGTTCTGGTATAAGCGGCAAAGCAAGCGACAGTTTACTTCATATTAAACTTTGTTCGTGGTTGCTGGGATTCATGGGAGCGCGTCATGGACAATTTTCCTACATGAGGCACGGTCTTCATCAGCAGATGAACGTCAACGAAAACCCCGATCCTTGCATTGATAGTTACATGAATTATAACAAAACAATCCATTCAAATACAATACGTGATTATTTAAAGCGTACTAAATTAAGACAGAGAAGTGTTGTTGTGACGTCATCCGTCATTCGTCCATTGTACATTCTTGTTGACAATACTGTGAATATTTAAGGACTGAACTTATATTTGTTGATCTTCATCAGTTGACGAGGAGACTTTCTCAAGTGAGAAAATTTCATGATGCACGAGACATTTACAGTTTTGTGACTCACCGCTCGCCTGACAACGTAATTAACCTCCATGTTGGCGTTCAGCGGGAAATGAACGACAGCATGGATTAGTAGTTTTCACCCAGGCGAGATCACCCGCTACTCTCAATATTCCTCGTTATTTATGTATTTTATGTATAACTGAGAAATTAAAATATAAATATGGACATTTTTAATGCATCTGTGGTGCAGTAGACCGTATCCGTTGATGACGTCATTGGTTCAGTTTCCCAGAACACCGGTCACCACAAGGAGTGAGTGAGTGAGTTTAGTTTTACGCCGCACTCAGCAATATTCCAACTATATGGCGGCGATCTGTAAATAATCGAGTCTGGACCAGACAATCCAGTGATCATCAGCATGTGCACTGATCTATGCAATTGGGATACGATGACATTTGTCAACCAATCAGCGAGCCTGACCACCTAATTCTATGAGTAGCCACTTATACGACAAACATGGGTTGCTGAAGATCAGTTCTAACCCGGATCTACACAACAAGGTACTCTGGATTCTCTGAGAACCAGCCTACACAGTTACGTGAGTGAGTATGTTTTTATGCCGTTTAGCAATATTACAGCAATATCACGGCGGGAGACACCAGAAACATGGCTTCACACATGTGTGGAATCGAACCCGGGTCTTCGGCCTCACGAGCGAACGCTTTAGTCACAAAGTTTTGGTCTATTTGAGGTTTTATTGGCCATATTGGATAGTGTTTACAAAGTCACGTTTCGCGAAGGCCGGTCACGAGACGCCTATTACATCACGTATATTTCCCACTCTGCTGCGATAAAGTCATCACTGAATTCCCCATACATTTTAGAATAAAATATCAAATGGTCTTGTCACCAATACTAAGTGTCCAGATGAAATTAAACGAGACACTGGGTGTGAAAACGAACGGTGTTTGTAAGACTGCGTTCCTTTGAAATGTAAACAAAGACAAATTCAGATTTGACACTGTGTGGCATTTTTGCAAATTTTCAGACATCCAGCACGCACAGGCTCAGACCTCTTAGAACATGCATGGCAAGGGTATCGCAGCAGGAAATAATATATAGATACAATACAATGATTTGATACATTCATACGAATTGTCAAATCTTTCGTGCAGCGTGAAGCCATGACTGACGCAAAATCACGCAGAACAACAACGGTAATTATCGGCATTTCTGCCAGACTCCTTTTCCTAGTTACAATGAAAACAATATAATCAAATATAAACAATACGCAGATAGTCAGAATCTTTCTGTTTACTTACATCCCATATTTATGTACACATGAAATCAAGGTAAGGTCTCTCGCAAAATCCTGCATATACCGATGTCAGTGAACCCGCCATTTTGTAAGAAATCGGTCATTGGTAGTGAAGTCATACGTCTAAATAGTTGTAGATATTTGGCAATTTCTTTGAAGTGAAGAGTAAACCAATCACCTTATCATGAGTATCTAATATGTCGCCAGTCGTGTCCACAATCAAGCACCTGTGGGTGATCTCTGGTAAAGAGGGTATACACCACAGATGGCGCACCCAGAGACGTGGTCTCATGAGGCCGGGTTCGATTCCCCACATGGATACAATATATGATTTCGGATAAATATCTAACTACCTTAAGTATGTTGGTATTCACAGGTCTGCATGTGTTCAAACGGACATCACTATTTTCACGCTTTCCAGATAGGCTGTTTCTAAGAAGTTCAATTTCTCCCACATCAAATGTTCTTCAACCTTCAGAAGGTCAGCACTGTGGAATAGGGTTTGATGTCTCAGATGTGACTTTGCCTCACAGCTCAGTTATTGCAACATAGAACTTAGAGGGCCCCGAACAGCTGACTGATTTCTGGAAATATGGCGTGATAAATGCACACTATTGGGCGACGAAACACGACCGTCGCTGGGATGACACCGACGACGGGGAGCACATGAGTGGGCAACTTGGCGTCATGGGGATGTTTGATAATCTTCCATGCTTCAGTCTAGCACTAATTTTGTAATACAGTGATGCAGTACGTGTATATAATCTTTGAAAAACCTAAGCATAGTTTAATACTGCTTCAGCAAATCTTCCATAGCATTACAGGATGATTGTAGATATGCAGGAATCGGGTGATCCTTAACACATACACTAGGTACAAACCACCCCCCATTTTTAATAAATGTATTCTCCCTTGTTCCCAAAATAGATTTAAGAAGGAATGGTCCCTAACTTTGACGGAACGCTCACTGCATGACAATTAATTACGGTACACCCAGTAAGCGCAATAAGCGCCGGGTCTGGAAGTCCGTTGAAAAAGGAAATACGGTATATTGTGACAATCCATGTCACCTTCTGGAATGGAACAGAGAACTATAACACCAGAGACCATCTATTGTATGGTCTCTGATAACACCAAAATGGAAATATACTCGCTCCTATTTTTTTTCTAGCGGTATGCGTGTTATTAAGCTGTATCTGATTATCTCCCTTACCTGGGTACGTCGGACGCTTCGTCTAAGGAAGACGCAGGGTATTGGGATGAGGCAAGTACCTTTAATGAGTATTGTCAGGTCCTACTTGCCTGTGTGATTGTAGGGCATGTGTGGGCGCCCTGCAGTACGACCTAGAACTCTTCGTGCAATTTAATCAGTAGCCTGAAATCAGCCGATAGCGAAACTGACTGAAAGTGTTGTTTTTCTGTTGTGGCGAACACGACGATCAAGCCATTGGCCGCACGTGTGTTAATATTTTAAAGTGATGATATATATACGACTTATCAGAATGCCTTTGCGTAGGAAGCTATTGTGTGTTTTCAAATGTATGAGGCATAGAATTATGAACATAAGTCCCGGAAGGGGAGCCGAGAGTGCCGTTGAGGTTCTTGACTCCAGGACTTAACTCGTGTGGGGGGTGCGCCCTGCCCGCTCCTTTTGTTGACACCCGTCAAAATAATGTCAACATACCACGTGTGTTTGGTTCACGTTTGGTTGCCGTTAGGTTGATAGAGAGCGGATCGCAGGCCTCTAACCACAAGAACCAGAAGTCCATATAATACATACGGACATTTTATGGGTGTTTCAACCAATCACGGTAAGATTTCCGCCTGCCCCACACCCATAATTTTTAACGATGTGGAAAAAGATATTTATATATTCAGGTAATATGATTTGAATAGAAATGGGGATACGGCTGGAAGTCTTTCCTCAAGACACCATCTCTCTCGACAGAATTTGATGAGATTGATTATGTGATAGCCGTACCACAAGTCATTTACTAAATTGGTACTAAATGATTTAGTTGCCACCTGCACAGTGGCTATCTTGCTGACACTGCCAATTATTTACAGGTTATAGTCAAATAGCGGGAACAAGTGGATCTAAGTGATCAGGGGCGGATCCAGGATTTGAGAAGGGGGTGGTAGTGGGGTGGGGGGTTGCACATTAATCATGAACATGAAGTATCAAGTTTAGGGGGAAGTGCTCCTCTGGGACACACGCACGCACGCGCACACACACACCTCCCCGCTGTGTCCGCTCCTGGTTATGTTTATTTTGTCAAAAGCAACAGGCACATCAATCAATGTACACAAATCTGTGTTGTACTAATTTACTTTTAACACTTGCAATTTTTTTAAAGACCAACATGACAAGACTAGGCACCTTTCTAATTCTGTGTTTCCATATGTTTGCAGTATGAATGAGAGATGGCCCCATTATGAACAGAAAGATCAGACGATTGCTTTCACATATACCATTAACACTGCTGGTGTTATTTCTGTGCCTTTCGACTCTGACATGTTTTTTGGGGATAGACACACTGGTATCTATCTACAAGAACATATTTGATGAAGACTACCGAGCCTGTACTGATCAAATCAGGTCTTACCAACACAGTGAACATTCAAAGCTGTTTGTCACTCTGTCCTATCATGGTCGCCTTGGAAACTGGATGTATGCTTATGCATCATTGCTTGGCATTGCAGCAAAAAATAAGAGGGAGGCGTACCTGTATTATGCACACCCCCTTACAAGTTATTTTGACTTGCACAGAACCCGCATGGACCATGCACAGTGTGTCCGGCCTGTATCGGATCCAACTCCCTGTACATACGACAAGAGATTCGAGACACTGCCAACAATGAATATCACGATAGATGGGTATATTCAATCATGGAAATATTTCGCTGGTCTTGAATCAACTATACGAAAAGAGTTTGTATTCAAGGAGTATATACGTAACGAGGCTGCGAGGATGTTCAGGTCATATTCAAAAGGTGCACGTGAGTTGGTGACCGTATGTGTTCACGTCCGTCGAACGGACATGCTTATTCCAGGCTCATTGAAGCTTGGATTTAAGGAGGCGCCAAAGTCATATATTGTTAACGCCATGGAATACATGAGAAGAAAACTTGGCGTCATCAAATTTATATTTGTATCAGATGATACACAGTGGTGTAGGGCCAACTTTGAATCTCCAGATGTTGTGATCTCCGACTCGGCTTCTATGGGCGTTCACCTGGCGATGTTAACGATGTGTAATCATACTATCATCACCACGGGTACGTTTGGCTGGTGGGGGGCGTGGCTGGCAGGGGGGCTGGTGGTGTACTACAAGGACTTCCCTATCCCAGGGACTATTATAGACCGTCAGTTCACTGCGGAAGATTTCTACCCCCCAGGCTGGGTGGGGCTGAGTGGATGAATGGGGCTGCATCAGTTACAACAGGTCACCTGTGGTGTGTTTATCATGGGATGTGTCGACTATGACAGGGATTCAGGGTGGACACCTGGTCTCATGTTTGATATGAGATGTGTCTAGTGTTTATCATGGGATGTGTCGACTACGACACAGATGTGTGGTGTCATATCTGAGATGTGTCTAGTGTTTATCATGGGATGTGTCGACTACGACACAGATGTGTGGTGTCATATCTGAGATGTGTCTAGTGTTTATCATGGGATGTGTCGACTATGACACAGATGTGTGGTGTCATATCTGAGATGTGTCTTCAGGGATTCAGGGTGGTCTGTTGAGGGAGAACGTGTGGGCCAACCATTCAGGGTGGTCTGTTGAGGGAGGACTTGTGGGCCAACCATTCAGGGTGGTCTGTTGAGGGAGAACGTGTGGGCCAACCATTCAGGGTGGTTTGTTGAGGGAGGACTTGTGGGCTAACCATTCAGGGTGGTCTGTTGAGGGAGAACGTGTGGGCCAACCATTCAGGGTGGTCTGTTGAGGGAGGACTTGTGGGCCAACCATTCAGGGTGGTCTGTTGAGGGAGAACGTGTGGGCCAACCATTCAGGGTGGTCTGTTGAGGGAGGACTTGTGGGCCAACCATTCAGGGTGGTCTGTTAAGGGAGAACGTGTGGGCCAACCATTCAGGGTGGGTTGTTGAGGGAGAACGTGTGGGCCAACCATTCAGGGTGGGTTGTTGAGGGAGAACGTGTGGGCCAACCATTTAGGGTGGTCTGTTGAGGGAGAATGTGTGGGCCAACCATTCAGGGTGGGTTGTTGAGGGAGAACGTGTGGGCCAACCATTCAGGGTGGGTTGTTGAGGGAGAACGTGTGGACCAACCATTCAGGGTGGGTTGTTGAGAGTGTAGGGTGTGGCAAACACATTCAGGGTGGGTTGTTGAGATCTGGGTTAGAATTGATCTTCAGTAACCCATGCTTGTCGTAAGAGGCGACTAATGGTCAGATATGCCAACACATACGATTTTGTCATATTCGTTAGATAAACAACATAAAGTACGCAACTATGATAGCAATAAAAACATACAATTTAAAAAAAAAATACATTATATCAAAATGTAATTTTCTGAATAAAATTTATATTTTATACTTATCCTGACTCATGCTTGTCTCCCTTTTCTTCTGAATGCTAGTGGAACACTTGAATCCACTTTTGAAGCTCCCTTCAAAAAAGCGGACGTAAAATCACTCACCAGGAGTCATCTCCCTTCCCCAGGTTTTGGCCGGAAACCGGCGCCATCTGTCACCATGCTCCTCATTTTATCCGTATTTTACAGCCCGACACACTGATTTACTGGGAAATCCAGAGTGCCTTGAGGGGAGGTTGGGAGGGCTCACCTCATGAGTCAGGATAAGTATAAAATATTAATTTTATTCAGAAAATTACATATTTTTCCTTATCCTGACTCGTGCTTATTGCTTGTAGAATCCGACGGAATTGGTGGTGGGTCAAGCCACTTGTGGATTCCTTAGTGATTAATTTACATCCTATTTACCCCCCATGGGAACTTCTGATGGCACTGCTGCTGCTGCTGATCCTTACTCCCATCTTTTTCTGATGAGTTTGGGGGGACCACAACTTGTCAGATCTGCTGGAACGTTTCTTCTGCTGACATTATGTGTGGATTTACGCAACTCCATCTCTTGATGCTTGCATGGGTTTATCACTCATGCTGGTCTGTCCTAGACGTGCGCATGGACTCTAAAGCTCTCCAGAACGTTGGCTTTGTAAGTCACGTGATAAAGGGGTGAGATCCTTCTCAGCGTCTTTGTGGAACCGTCAGTTGTGTTACCACAAGAGGTCCAATTGGTGAATTCCGGAGACTATGTCTCTGAAGTAATGGTTGGCAAACACCGTCTCCGACTTCCAAAAGCAGCCTTCAATTATCGTAGATATTGAGCAGTTTCCATGTAAGGCGAGCGTAGATGCTAATGCTCTAACTTCAAGAGGATTGGAGGCTTGTGGAGGCTCAAGTCCTGCTGCCTTGTAGGCTCTAAGGATGATTGCTCTCATCCAGAATGATATCGTAGTGCGTAGTGAGATCTCTGTGGGTGTGTCCGCCGATATAAGGATGAAAAGGCGCTTGAATTTTTGTCTCCCGTGTTTTTAGATCTTTATAAAAAGATTTTCAGTGCCCTGACTGGGCATAAGGATAGGTCCTGGATATCCTGTGGCCTAGGGATTGATGATAATGCTGGGACGTGGGACTGTCTGTCGGGTTGACCTGGCAGTTGATTCTTAGCTATGAAGTCCCATCTCAATCCCAGATGAACGATGTTGTGATGTGCATCAAACGTATACGTTCAAAGTCTAGAGCGTGCTGCTGTTGCCAAAGCGATCAGGAAGAGAGTTTCCTGTGTAAGAAACTCATAGGATGTCCTGTCTAGTGGTTCATAAGCATCACTGGTGAGAAGCTGTAGAACTACGTTAAGATCCCAAGCCGGCGCTTTAAACTTCCTTTGTTGATTTTCCAATTTGAAGGATCTGCTATCGCAATCTTGGCTCCAAGAATGTGGCATGCTCTTATGTAGATGTTCAAGTCATCTATTATGCTGAACAGATGAAAGCTGAGGTCTAGTAGATATCTTGACCTTGTTGATCCTTGTTTGTTGATGTAGAACGCCACTGTGTCCGTGTGGATCATCAGTTGTGCATTCCTTAGTATGCTGGACCAGTGTAGTAAGGCCTTTACTACTGCTTTCATCTCAAGCATGTTGATATGCAGATTGCTCCCGACTCAACCATTTCCCTGCTGCCACTTCGTTATCGAGGTGAGCTTCCCAGCCTTGAAGTGATGCATCTACGTAGAGATGAGTGTTGCACTCCGCTCTGATAAGTAGATTCCTCCGCAAATATTCGACTTCCGAGTCCACCATAGAAAATATGGTTTCAATCCGTCCGGTAGTCCGAAGGAGTCCAGACTATAGAAACGGGCGCAATTGTAGTCTTCCTCTGTGAGTCATGTCTTGTGCTGATGTGAGAAGACTGAGTAGGCTCTGTCAACTTCGTAGTGGTAACGGAGAGAGTAGTGCTTGAGATACCATGACTTGTATCTAGACCCAACGATCCTCTGAGACGACCTTGTCATTCTGTGGTGAGATGAAACATCTTCCCAGAATCTGCTCATGTTCTATGTTGTAAGTAAGTAGACAGTGGAACCCTTGCCATGTCTGTAAAGGAAGCGAAGCAACATCCGGATCTGGGACTGCCATAGCTGTGAAGTCTATATATAGTAGACTGGCTGCCGCGAGCAAAATTCATCAAAAGTCTGTTGTTGCAATTCGCCGGATAAACAGTCTTCAATCTGCTGACAGGGAAGGTCTCTAAATCCCGTAAGACAGTCAAATCACGCTGTACCCTGCTAACTGGACTGTAAATGAAGTCCTCCTCCCACGTTGAAATGTTGTTTACAATCTGTAGACAACTTCCTGACACGTGAGCGATGTCCGACTTCTGCGCAGGGCGTTGTCTCTCATGGACCAATCAAAATGCAGCATTTTGAATTCTTTCAGATTCCCGCGATGTGACGTCATCGGTGTTGCAGGTAAAGATCCTTGTAAAATCTTGTGCAGTTGTTGATTTCTTCATCAACACTCGGCCTTGTCCGTAACCTCTCCGTAACCTACACGAAAGTGACTCGAGTGATAGAGGGCTGAATGGTAAACGCGCTAAAGATTCCGCCGCGTAATACAGATGTAGGTCGACTGTCTCCCTGGCTGCTGTGACTGTTCCTTCATTCCTGAAGATAATGCAGTCGTCATCTTATACAGATGATCAGCGTCATCATATACAGATGATCAGCTGAAATTCCATACTTGCTTAACGCTGTTACTTGTAGACTGTATTCATCGGAGGGGCGGTTGGGTAGCCTAGTGGTTAAAGCGTTGGCTCGTCACGCCGAAGGCCCGGGTTCGATTCCCCACATGGGCACAATGTGTTAAGCCCATTTCTGGTGTCCCCCGCCGTGATATTGCTGGAAAATTGCTAAAAGCAGCGTAAAACTAAACTCAGTGTATTCATCGGTCTCAATGAAGTGTCCTTCAGTGTAAGTTCTACCCTGGTAGTCGTCGATGATCTTGTAGTTCACATCAATCTCTGAAGCCTTCATGAAGGGTTCCATGTGGAGTACTGGGAATTCCCTGGCTTGGACGTCGGGGATATGTTGACTGTGGAACTTCATAGCCTTACCAAGGTTGCGCTGAAATTCTCCGGTATTATCTATCAAGTCGTTATCTCTGATCCGCGACGATGTGTCTGCCTGAAGATCTGCACGCAGGTGAATGATCTGTATATGGACATGAGTCCCTCCTGGACTCTTAAGAAACATCTTTAACCTTCGTGAAAGTGTAGGTTTTCAGCGTCGAGGAGTGTTTTTGTGCAGTTAATCACGCTACCCTCTTCTGATGTAGATATATCTTTTTGAAGATCCTGAATCCTTTCTGGAGATCAATCTGAAGATCTGCCTGAAGACCTGCCTGAAGATCTGCATGATCGAGATGAGGGTCTCGTTGATAGCTCTTGACCTGGCTAGGCCGAAGAAGGTTCGTCTGGTTACTGTGTCTAACTGTGAGACAGGGTCGAAAGGTGGAATCGTGAGTGTGTCTATATCATCATTCAACATCAAGTACGAGAGTGCTTCATTGGCCTCCTTAAAGGGTGATGCGAGTTCCAAACCGTTGGCCATCCATGACTTGATTTCAGAGTCGGAAAAAAATTCCGCCGTCATCTTCCGAGTTAGCAGTATCATGCTCTGAGGATTGATGTCTTCTAGTGTCTGGAGATCTGTAAGGCGATCTGTATGAGGATCTATGTGGTGATCTGCATGGTGATCTGTATGGAGATCTGCGTGGTGACCTTCGTGGCGAACCATACATACGCGCGAACCTGCGTTTAGGTGAACGGCTCTGTCGAGGGTTGGAGTCTTGTGACGAATCTCTGTGCCTATCGCATGGGTGAAGATTTCCTGGTCTTCTCCTGCGTGCAGGTCGAACGAATGTCCGCAGGTTCGTGACGCGAATGGGTTCATGTTGGAAGTAGATGCCGACCTACATGGGATCGCTGTAGTGTAACGCATGCTTGTCATAGAGGTAGATGACGATCGTGCATGGGTGTAGGCTCTTGTCATAGGAGGGCCAGCCAGACCTGGTGTAGGCTGCTCTACGCTTGTAGTCATGCTTGACGTCGCGGGCGTTGTAGTCATGCTTGACGTTGTAGTCATGCTTGCGTGCAGGTTCGTGACGAATGTCCGCATCTGAAGTAGATGGTGATCTGCGTGGGTTCGGCGAACGTCTTGTCCTTCAGCCGAACGTAGTTGGTGCAGGTTCCACGTTGGTATGACTGCCAGATCTTCGTGCGGACGTTCATGTACGTTTCGCAAGATGTTGGTTCCCAACGGACGTGTGTGCAGCTCAGTTGTCCTTCACTCGGGTTCGTCCCAGACGTCGTCTTCATCGCAGCTCTTTCGCGTGCGAACCGTTGTTCCATCAGATCCAACATCTGTTGGGTAAATTGCTGCATAAAGGTGCCCGGGTTGAAGGTCTGCGTTATCTGTTGTAACGACGGGGCGGTGGGGTAGCCTAGTGGTTAAAGCATTGGCTCGTCACGCCGAAGACCCGGGTTCGATTCCCCACATGGGCACAATGTGTTAAGCCCATTTCTGTTGTCCCCCGCCGTGATATTGCTGGAATATTGCTAAAAGCGGCGTAAAACTAAACTCAGTCAGTGTTGTAACGACGCACGCGATCTAGAAGATGAGGCTTCTTCTGAAGGGTGTTGAACCTCTCTGCTAAACGTCTGCGTTGAAAGGTTGTCCTGCGTGGTCACGGTAGAAGACGCCTTCGTCTTCTTCTTAGATGTGATCTCAGGGATGAGGATGGGCGATCTCAGCTGAAAATGACCTCGTTTTCTGCGTTGCCCCATGTAGAGTCTTAGCTGTAGCTGACTTCTTCCTCTGGGAAGATGATGCTCTAGTCTTCTTAGACTGCGATGAGGAATTATCAGATGTAGATGACCTCTTCCTCGAGCCAGCGTTGTCTACGGCAACAACCTCCTCCGTAGACGACCCCGGTAGACCACTGGAATGGTGAATCTGCGCAGACACCAACTGCCGGTCCTCTGCAAGCTTAGTCGGTTTAGACATGTTGTGTAAATCTCGTCTGGACCTGTCCTTTGCACGTCTAGACAGATAAAATGAATATTTATAAAATGCAATATCCGACAGGTAAAAACACAACTGACAACGAGAGTCAGATAAACATGCGGGCTTGCAATTAGGACATAGGTTATGTGGATCAACAGCAGATAATCAATACCTACAACCAGAACAAAATTTCATCAATTGTAAACAATCTGAACAGTCACGTAAAAACGTGATAAAACAGAAAAATTTGAGAATTAATTCCGTAGAATATTGTAGGTAAACGTTAACTAAAGCCTTATACAGCTAATTTAGAAGAAAGGCCTAAACAATAAAAGGATATAATGCCGTATAGGGGACCAGGTGCTCTCACAACCGTCCACTCGGGCGAATCAGGAGAGAGTGAGGAGCATGGTGACAGGTGGCGCCGGTATCCTGCCAAAACCTGGGGAAGGGAGATGACTCCTGGTGAGTGATTTTATGTCCGCTTTTTTTAAGGGAGCTTCAAAAGGGGATTCAAGTGTTCCACTAGCATTCAGAAGAAAAGGGAGACAAGCAATAAGCATGAGTCAGGATAAGGAAAAATGTATCATATAGCATACGTACCATACACAATAAACTCCAACCAAATTGTATTCAGTATCAAGCTATATATGGATACTTACTACAGATTTATGTGAGTACAATGTTAATAACAAGTTCTTAGAATATATATATTTTATTAAATATGAAAATTCTTTGGAAAATTTAATACTAATTTTGTCCAAAAATACCAATTGTTGCATCAGTTTTTGTGCGAATACTAATTGGGCTAAATTGGGTTGGCATCTCTGCTAACGGGATCAGGTGGTCAGGCTCGCTGACTTGGTTGACACATGTCATCGTATTCCAATTGTGTAGATTGATGCTCATGCTGTTGATCACTGGATTGTGTGGTCCCGACTCGATTATTTACAGATCACCGCCATATAGCTGCAGAATTGCTGAGTAAAACTAAACTCGCTCACTCATTCAGAGTAGGTTGACAGAAGAAGGAAGAAGGGTGGGTGTTTGGTGGGCATTCAGGGTGGGCTGTTGAGAGAGAATATGTGTGGACCAGACATTCAGGGTGGGCTGTTGAGAGAGAATATGTGTGGGCCAGCCATTCAGGGTGGACTGTTGAGAGAAATATGTGTGGACCAGACATTCAGGGTGGGCTGTTGAGATAGAATATGTGTGGACCAGGCATTCAGGGTGGGCTGTTGAGAGAGAATATGTGTGGACCAGACATTCAGGGTGGGCTGTTGAGAGAGAATATGTGTGGACCAGGCATTCAGGGTGGGCTGTTGAGAGAGAATATGTGTGGGCCAGCCATTCAGGGTGGGCTGTTGAGAGAGAATATGTGTGGGCCAGCCATTCAGGGTGGGCTGTTGAGAGAGAATATGTGTGGGCCAGCCATTCAGCGTGGGCTGTTGAGAGAAAATATGTGTGGACCAGGCATTCAGGGTGGGCTGTTGAGAGAGAATATGTGTGGACCAGGCTTTCAGGGTGGGCTGTTGAGAGAGAATATGTGTGGACCAGACATTCAGGGTGGGCTGTTGAGAGAGAATATGTGTGGACCAGACATTCAGGGTGGGCTGTTGAGAGAGAATATGTGTGGGCCAGACATTCAGGGTGGGTTGTCAAGAATTGTCTTTGAGAAAGGCTATAATATCTACCATTGCTGATCACAATATTATAAAGCCATCAGCTGTAAATATACCGATTAAGAACATATGATTACAGGGATCACAGGCAGGGATGCTTGAAAGGGCCAGTATAAACGCAATTAGCCAGGACAGAACTTCAGTGCTTATTTTTCTGGAGGAATGTCTAGTATTTTACTGGTACTCTCAGCTCTAATAATGTACGTTTATCTTTTAAATTTTTAATTCTATTTAATAAAATGTTTTTAGATTATATGACTGTACTTCATAATATATTTTAATATACAGATAAACTTATTATAGCAATCAAGTCTGTTTTTTTCTTCACATGAAAGCTCTCATAAATGTAATACTCACCAAAGCTGAATAGGCTGTGGGGTAGCCTAGTGGTTAAAGTGTTGGCTCGTCACGGTGAAGACCCGGGTTCGATTCCCCCACATGGGTACAATGTGTGAAGCCCATTTCTGGTGTCCCCCGCTGTGATATTGCTGGAATATTGCCAAAAGTGGTGTAAAACTAAACTCACTCACTCACTTATGAGTGGATACTGGCATGTCAAAGAGAGCTAAGGACAATGGAGACCATTTGTCAACAGAGTAGGCAATTATTTGGCCAGTCTGAAGTCCATGGTGATGACTGCCTGACTGAGTTTGGTTTTACGCCGCTTTTAGCAATATTCCAGCAATATCCCGGCGGGGGACACCAGAAATGGGCTTCACTCATTGTACCCATGTTGGGTTTTGAACCCGGGTCTTCGGAGTGACGAGCCAACGCTTTAACCACTAGACTACCCCACCACCCCCAATGGTGATGAAGCTCTTTCCCAGGTAAAGTGGATCAATGGACATGACTTTCATTTATTTGTACGATGCTTTATGTTCTATTTTTCTGTTGTGGTTTCTGGAACAGTCTGTGTAACTTGTAAACTTACATGAAGAGTGTGTCAGGACCAGTTTGTTCGAACAAACCGCAACCGCCACCGCAGTAATATTGCTGAGTGCCGCGTTAAACAACCAAACCAAACCGGAAACTATATGTTTAACAATAACTCCCTGGAGATGTGTTCATTTTACCTAAAGTAAAAGGCAAATAACTTCTTCTATATTGTATGTCACTTTTCTGGGCAACTCTTTCCCCTCATCAGGTAAAACATGTACGTTCCTTCACCATCTTGCTCTGATGGCTGAGATGATGACAAGATAAACATGATTAACGGGCCGTTACCGTGGTTATGGTCGTCGTTTGAAAATGCTATGGCAATCTGCCCAGCTTCTGGAGCAGGAAATACTTTATGAAATATATTTCTGGGTATGACTAGCTACTACAGAAAATTCCTGTTATGTGGTGGCCTAAGTATATTGTCACTTGCTCATGAATTCTCACGTCTTGAAAGCAAGGGAGTTTGAAAAAATATTTCGGCTGTCCGTTGATGCCAGTGTCACATAAAGATGCTGAAGGGAATAACACACTGCATATTTACATACTTATCCTATCTCACACAACAAACTCCCAACCTACCGGCAGTGGGGTACCCTAGTGGTTACAGCATTTGCTCGTCACACAGAAGATCTGGGTTCGATTCCCCACAGGGGTACAATGTGTGAAGTCCATTTCTGGTGTCCCCGCTGTGATATTGCTAGATTATTGCTAAAAGAGGCATAAAACTAAACTCACTGCTACTTGATGCTCATTACCTGCTCTTTCAGAGAGGAGGCGGTGGGGCAGCCTAGTGGTTAAAGCATTCGCTTGTCATGCCGAAGACCCGGGGTCAATTCCCCACATGGCTACATTCTGTGAAGCCCATTTCTGGTGTCGCCTGCTGTGATAATGCTGGAATATTGCTAAAAGCGGCGTAAAACTCAACTCATCTTCAGAGAGAATAACATTTCACAGATATCACATAACCAGTGAGCGCTAACTGTATGAGCAGATAGTGCTGTGACATTGTCCAGGTAAGGTGGTAGTGGGGGCTGCTGGGTGTGTTTGGCCGACTTGTTTCGCAACTGGAAAAATTCCGAGGGTCCCAACTGAAACAACCCCTCAGCATCAATAGAGGAAGGAAAAATCTAAAGTGTGAGGTACGATATAATTAGAAATTTGTTATTTTTTCAAATATAACAAGCAGCATGCAGGACATCACCCAATTCAGCAGTCAGCAAGGGGAAAGAATCCTGCAGACCGAGCTGCAGCAAAGGTTATGAGACAAGCCAATAAAATTTGAACATGACTTTATTTCACATTCGTTACAGAGATGATACAAGATGAAGCCTAGGACACAACGGCCAATAACTGTATAATTCTTTAGGTATCACTGCCATTACTCGCTTGCCAGAAACCCACAATCACCGCGTTCCACACCATCATCTGACCTTGGATCAGTTCCCATGACAACTGTTACCATGCCAGTTTCAACACAATAGGACAGATACCCACTGGGATGATAACAGTAATCTACACACAGATTTGTAAACATTCAAAATTCAGCGAAACCTTACCTCACATACTACCCTTTTGAAGAGGATAAACAGTCATTCAAATTCAATTTAGACATGATAGATTATGACTTTGGGGTAGTAGCGTAGCGATTCAACTATTTCATGTGAAGAATGCTTTCAGCAACCTATGCCTTCAGTATGAACAGTGAATACTCCAACCACAAAGCTAACACAACAACCCTGATATATACAGATTCTCTCCTGAATGTCTTTTGAGATCTGATATATCAATGCTTGGAAACAAACGTTTACGTTTATTTGGTAAGCCTTGACATTTCTAACTTTTATGATATATAAAGAAAAATTGCCATTGACTATTCTAGATCTTTTACTTTCTCATAAGTAACATTATTTTGAGCTAGAAAATGTACAGCTAACCAGTTTCATGGGCAATGCTGGGTGATATCATTTCATTGTGACGTCATGGCAACTGATGATGTCACAATGTTCTGCAAAGTATTGTGATGCAATTCCTTTGATAAAACAAGATACTACAATAGTTCTTATCATTTCAGAGAACTGTAGAATATTTATCCTGCCACTGGACCCTCTTGTTAGTCAGTATTATCCTACATGGTACAAGTACATCCAAAGTCAGTAGATGGTTTGAAATGCAGATGATTGAAATGAGTATCTTGGTAAAAGCCATACAGTAGATTAGATGAGAACACTACACGGTGGAATGCCAAGCTTTTAACGTAGACATGAAAATACAGAAATAGTTGATAAATGAACAAATATGACACCTCCTAAGGTATTGATTCCAACTCTGCTATCCTTTCATAAATAGTGCCTACAATTTGCTCCGCACCAAGTCTGTGGTCTGTCTGAATGCAAGCTACGGCTCCTGTTCCGTGTTGACATGAATGTAATATGCAGACTATTTGGAAACTTTTCTCTTTCTGGAGGGGATGGGGTTACATTGTTTTGAATAAATATTATCTCCTGAAATGATGGAAATCAGTATTTGTGTTCAGGATTTACAAAAGACAAATATTGGACATAATGGAGGGTTTCAAAACTTTCCTGCAGTCTCTACCCTTCTGAGTAGCTCTATGGTTTAAAATGCTCCTTTCTCAAGAAAATATAATGGTAAGCGATGCTGATTTAACTGGTTATTCCGTTACACCACCACGTGTCAGCCTAGAACCTGAAGTCCTGGGATCGTGGCATGGTCTGTCCCCATCCCCCAATCTAGAAGAATTAACTCCAGGCATGCAAGAACAGATAGTGAATCGGATCCTGGACCGATTATGACCCATCTGATAAGAGCGTATCCACCAGGTATTTCACCAGACATTCATTTGTTCATAGGCTCTGCTAACAACTATAGGTCTACCTTATGGACCTCACATACATGATACTCTGATCCCAGCTAGCATGTAAAACAGAACTACTTGTCTAATAACAAATTATCAATGCCTATCCATCCAATAGTTTATCTCATGATACAAAATATTTGATCTTTGGCTTTTTCACTAGATCAAAGTGGACGATATTACCTGATTCCACATGACCGCTTTAGACACCAGAGAAGGACCATTTGACAGGGTAACACAATTTATTACATCTACACCACTGACGAGTAAATATTATACCCTGGTGAAAATAACATGACAAGTCCTTGATATAAAATCATATAAAACTACTGTATCACCACAGATTATTTTGATTGGACACTCAGTAGCACATTTGCAGACAATTCCTGCAGACAGACCCAATTTGATACACCTGATGTGATTAACCCTTGGAACACAAACTTCCACAAATTGTATGCAGAAAAAATGTAAAAAATACCTTTGGTCAGTAAGTCAAAAACATTAAGAAAGATTATACATGTATATTGTACAGGATTTTCGTAATCATTTTTAAGTTAGATTTGGATCAGCAATTGATGGAACAAAAAAGAATGATAAAATTACAGTCTGGGTTGGGACATAATAAATACTATAAATCTAAAATCTCACGACGGATCTGTGAACCAGTTGGCTGAATGCAAATTATTACGGTGGATTCAGTTAACATCATGAGACTTCATTTCTCAATTTCATTTTTTAAAAACAGAATAATACATTGTGCTCTCCATAGGCATATATAATAATAAAAGTTTCTGTAAAATCTCAGCGGCAACATCAGGATGTCGTCCCAAGAGAGGGAACCCTACAATCTAAAATAGCTATAAAATCAACAGACATGTACGCCAGTCTGACCATTCTTAGTTCTGGGAATGAACCTAGTACGTCTTTGAAAAAGGTGAAATCTCTAATTCTTGACAAAAAATTGTCTTCAGGTTTTAAACACATAAATCTTCAAAGGACAGGCAGGACGTTCAGAAACAATCTGTTGTGATTGAAAGAAATTGTTCAAGATGAACACTGACCTAAATAATGTTTCATCTCAAACCAAACTTCCTGCCCCAACAACTAAACTGTCAGTCCGCTGCTTTGGGTATACATATTTACTATCCTCAATCTACTCCTCTACACCTACCTTCAGGACCATATACACTGTGGGTGATAAAGTTTCCTTGAAAAAGCCTAGCAATAAATATTGATGTGAAAGATCAGCCTCTACAAACAGAAGTGGTAGATGGTCGGTAAGTCTTGTTCAAATTGTACTGTAACCATGACAACATTGTAATCAAACATAATGATGGCTGGAAGTAAACAACATGACGTATCCATGGTAACAACATGACAAGATATAGCACTGATGATATTGACAAGTAACCATGGTAACACAGATATGTACACTGACTTACCCACAACCAAGATCAGACGCTCGAACTGAATTTCGATGGGGAACATGACAACACAAGTCCACCATTTTAGTGTAATACCTTCTATTGTTTATACCCATATTCTTTCAACAATCCTTATTGACTTAATTGTATGTGTGCTCCCTACATTACTGTAAGCCAAATAAAATCCCTTAAAAAATCTTGAACAAAATTGAATTAAATGTGTTGATGTTTGAAAGTTTTGGATAGTTTGATTTCAGTTGGAGGCAGCCAGTTCTCAACACACGGGACATCACAAGTCAATGATGGAAGACAAACACAAACACCGAGCACAAGCAGCCACAGCCTAGCTCAACTGTCTCTCTCCAGAACCTTACACACTAGCACTGCAGACCTTGGAAGTAATGACAGCGAGATGTCACAGAAACAGTGGGGGTCGGGCGACCCTTAGAGCACTATTTGTCTTTTAAAAGCACTGAGTGAAAGATATATCGCTTGATGTATGATATCTTTGAATATCTAAATATTGGATGAGCTTAGACACACTTCATCCTGGAGGACCCAGAAGCACTTCATCTAGGACAACCCAAGAATCACTGCATCGAGGATGACACTAGAAGCACTGCATCAAGGACAACCCAAGAATCACTGCATCGAGGATGACACTAGAATTACTGCATCAAGGACAATCCAAGAAGCACTGCATCAAGGACAATCCAAAAAGCACTGCATCTAGGATGACACTAGAAGCACTCCATCAAGGACAATCCAAGAAGCACTGTATCTAGGATGACACTAGAAGCACTGTATCTAGGATGACACTAGAAGCAATGCAAGTTATGACCCATGAAGCATTTTCTAGGATGACAGTACAGAATTAGAATATACGGACTCTGCCCCAATAACCACAAGCTTTATTCCCCTAATGCTGAATGCAGTCCTTGGTTATGACACAACTGTGGATCCAACCACTGACCTTCTGGTCTCAGTGCCAACAAGACGATATTCAAATGTCAAGTATAGCGCTCTACCTTTCTCCTTTATCCAAAGAATCATGAAAAGATGGACTCTGGTAAATACCAAACTAGCACATTTAACAAGTGAAACTTCCCAGTTCATGATTTAAACAAATCTTCCAAGGTCTGCAGTCTTACAAATGTCAAACCCTCAAGGTATTCTTATGAGAAATGGAATAATTACTCAATCATGGTAGCTCTTGATTAAGTCAACACTTTGAGTGCTTTTGAATTACACTGCACCATAGGGATTAACTATCAATGGACCCTCCATAAAGACTACACCTACATAAAACAGACAGATAAGTTCAGCTTGGAAGATATCATAAAATGTGTAATAACGTATGACGGACATGATACACACACAGAAACATCTCGGTGTGTAGAAATGACACACCGTGTCTAAATTCTTCTTTGTGAATGATAGCCTATGTTTAAATACAAGAATGCATGAATCACTAAAACAAGTTTGTTTGTTGTTTAACGCCGCACTCAGCACTATTCCAGCTATTTGGCGGCGGTCTGTAAATAATCGAGTCTGGACCAGACAATCCAGTGATAGAATCCTCCACATCAGCTCCAAATCCTTCCGTACTCCCTCGCTCTGTAATACTATGGTTTATATGAATAGTTAAATACAAGCTTGATAAGCTTACATCACAATACAGTACATTAGAATACATTTAAACATCTAAGTCTAAAATATTCTATTACATTCAAAGTAAGGTCAGGTCATGACCTTGACCTTTGGTTGATATGACCTTGACCTGATTGATATAACAACCCTGATTCTATCAAGCATTTAATGACATTAATCCAAACTAACCAAGTAAGGACATATTTGACATTGACCTTGTAGTCAGGTCATGACCTTGACCTTTAGGTCAAATAGGACCTTGAGGTAATAACTGTCCCCTTCTTCTGCAGTATTGTTAGCACAAGTGTTTCAGTCAACCAGCTGCAAGGCAACCTCAATGTACCAGCCAGGGCATAATAGATATAGAGTTCCAGAGACAGAAGTGGCATTTAGTAGAAACAGCATAAAACGTTAGCCCATGTACCATCACAAAACAGGCATCAGAAATGAAGCAGCAGTCTGCGACTCTATCCACTAGTACGAAGCCTGTCTTGTTAAATTTCAGATTGTCTAATATGATAAGCTTGTATCAGCCACACTAAAACTAACATCTACTTAAAATAATGCCAGTATAGTTCAATCGAATAGATTCCCAAAGATCTGGATCGACGTAAGCAAACATATTGTGTTCCCTAAATATTGCAAGGAGAACATACTTCTATAGCCTCATTATTCAGGACCGTTGTAACTATTGTTAGCCTGTTACATCTGACAACAGCAGATTCTGCTGCACAACTAGTCTGCCTGACTGATTCAATTCTCTATCCCTGATTACATTGGAGTAAAATACTCAGATACAAGAATGCTTTGGTTTGATGTAGATTTGGCATTGTCTTTTTACCCTCCGTCGTCTTCACTCTGCAGACTCGGCTGACTGCTACACCTTTTGCCTTGTAGCCGTCGTCTCCGTGAAGACCAGTATAACACAACACTCGCACACAGCGTCAACAATAACCTTACAACACAACACGTGGCACTCAGCCCAGGAAGAACCCTCGTGGAGGTCGGGGGTCGTTGAGGGGCATGGCTTGCAGGACCTCGTCCAGGAGTTGTAGCGGTCGGTGCAGCTGCACTTCAATCCAACATGGAGTCTCCTTTATGCTCTTGCGTGGGTAGTCAGGACCCCAGCCTTTCACGAAGCTCAGTCGTAGAATACACAGCCGCCGCAGGTCGTCCACTCCGATCCCTGCTGCAGCTGACAGACCTGAAGCAGGATAAAGGGTCTGAATTACAGAAGGAGCAATGGTGGAGTGAGTGAGTGAGTTAGGTAAGTTACAGACATGTGACGTGATGGGGTGGGTGCTGAGTGAGTGAGTTTGAAAGGAGTGAGTTAAAAGTGAGTAGGTGAGTGGGTGGAGTGAAAGAGTGAGTGAAACTCTGTCAACAATATCCTGACAATTTCTTTTGAAAAAAGTCACTTGCCACAGGGCAAGTGACTTTAAGAAAGTAACTTGTCCTGACTAATTTTCCACTTGCCCTGGTTTTATGACATAATCATGATGATGTAATTATGAAAGAATAAATCAACATGGTATTTGATGTTAATGTTTACTGGACTATTTATTGTAAAGTGATAAATAGCAAAGAAGATAACTCTACTTTATTATCATTGCGAAATTTAATAGCTACATTTTGAGCAGCTATGAAATTAAATCCAAGTTTATTTGCAGTTTGAAACCATAGTGGAAATTATCTAGTAGCCCACGGACAAGTAAGATACCATTATTTGATTGCCCAAAATGAAAACTGACTTGGGATTTTTGAACCCCTGACTGTAAGTTAAGCAAGTCTAGCCAAGGCAAGCGAGACACTGAATGGCAGGGACTAGACTGCCATGCTATCAGTGACGTCCCAGAACCTGACAACCTGACCCACTTACAGTCATCTCTTCTCACAGCACTGACAGGGGAATATGACGTACCAGGTGTGTTGCAAGATTTGGAAGGACTATCCAGGAAGATGCCTACCAGTCTGGCAGAATGATTGTGACATTTTGGAAGAGTGTTACCAATATAATCAAGTGAAACATATTAAATGGTAGCAGCTCACCAGAATGTGTAGTCATCGGTCTAAACTGTCACCAGTGACTGCTACTTAGAAAAGATTTCTAGTTTTTTTCAGCTGATTTTACCAATAAGGTTACGAGTGATGTTAACTCAGAGCCTCGTATTCATCTTCTAAAGACAATATTATTGTTTGAAACAGTTTCACCAAACAGTCATATCTGCAGTGATTTAAACAAAACATACGAATGCCAAATGATCCAGCCTGATCATCTAATCACTTGCCTGGATTGACCAGCACAGGTTGCTGGGATCAGTTCTATTTATAATATCATGTGTCCAGAGTGTATAAAGTGAATGTTGGACAAGCATGCGCCATCGAGTTGAACAGTGAGGGGAACATGGAGATCAAAGCACATCACAGAAACACCACAAACCAAAGTAACCTACTGTTATAAAACTGTTGTACTGCACCAGTTACAGCACTGGGTGTTATGTACTTGTTTGTTTGTTTGTAGTTTAACATCGCACTCAGCAATATTCCAGCTATATGGTGGCAGTCTGCCAATAATCAAGGCTGGACCAGACCATCCAGTGATCAACAACATGAGCATCAATCTTTGCAATTGTGATATGATGACATGTGTCAACCAAGTCAGCCAGCCTGACCACCCGATCCTGTCAGTCGCCTCTTACGACAACCATTGGATGCTGGAGACAAGGTACACACACTCTTGCATGAAACAAGGCACAGAGCTACACTGTTTCTACTTGGGAAACAATGTCAATGCTGCAACGATGGGTGGCTATCAGATACACAGGGCACTTCAGTGAGGCAACAGCAGTCCCAGGAGTCTGTGTTATTTTAAAAAATTTATCTGTGCATAACCAAGTATTCATACTACCTATCAAATTGTGCTTAGTAAGCATCAGACTTGTCCAGGGATTTACACGGAGTCCTTGTATTTGAGGGTCCCTGGGACTCTTACTCTTAAGGCTCCTGGACAACAAATGGGGGTCCCAGACACTTACATATTATCATTAATGCTGTTATTGTATTGTGTATCATGATCATCACATAGTTACAGTAATTAAATTGCAAATAATACCATAACCCAGCTGGTGGCAAACTCAGTGATAACTTATCATCACTTGATTGGAAGTTTTACAAAAAGTACTTGGACTTTTTCTGAGTCCCTGTGGACCCGCTAACAAATTTTGTTGCATCCATTGTCAATTTTATGCGTATAGGACGCAGGAATTGGCATCCTGTAAATCCCTGCTTGTCTATACGGTTATTTTGGTTTTCTTTTACAATCTGCAGATTCATTAATGCTTTGACTTCAATGACTTGAGTTTCAAAGTCAATGCCTGACTACTCCTTGAAGAACATTATGATAAAGTTCTTAACTCAAAATTTGAAAATTGAATTAAACATGTTCTTAAACACCTAATATATATGGCCGAGCTTATCACAGGCAATGGAAAGTCTCTACCGTTTCTCCAATGATTCTCTAACTGAAGGAATAAGGTGACTTTGATGGAATCAGGCATAAAGCCCGGAACTGTGGTTCGGATTGGCCGATTATAAACTGTTTGAAGTACCATGTTCAGGAAACACATCTTCTCAATCTCACTCAGTAATCTCTTACCTGGAGAGAAGGTCATTCTGGTTCATTATTTATAATTTTCTATTCTATCAGCAGATATATATCTGTGACGAATGTTTGAGGACCCTTCTTTCGCTGTGTCACTTTTTTATGATTCAAATATCCCCAATTGCAAAATATCAGTTCCTTATTCATAAGATCTTGGGTGGATTTTCAAAGATATCTGAATATTGTTGCTAAGCAGTAATTCTGGGAAGAGGTTCACAGAGGACCTTGTGATTGTCTGTAAGTGTTTAAATCCAGGAACCTTCTTGATCTCTTGTATTCAACATTATGACTAGGACTATTCCCAGCTAAAGTTGTAGCATTACAAAACAAAATAATTGAAAAGCAGTGTATCCAATTATCATGCAGTAGAATTATCCTTGAATAAGCATCCAAGCCCAGGACAACTTCCAGTAACAAGAATGGTTGATTGCCAAAAGGATAGCGGAGGTATCAAGCTACCTGAAACATTGATGCAATAAATCAGGTGCTAACAGGCTGCAGCTAAATTGATCCCTGCCAAAGTGAATGAAGGCTAATGAAGGTTCAATGACCTGTCTGCAACAATGTTCCACAGAAACCAGTGATAATGATGTTCATGTGGCCACAAGCTATTTCGAGGTGAGAGTCCGCTCTCATTCAACCAGGTTCTTCTGGTGTGTAGACTGTTGCATATTCTCATATCAATGCCAGTGAGTTAGAAACTGAGGAGAACAACGGAAAAGGCAAAAGAGGAAACAAAAGCTTACCCCACTGTGAGCAGCAGCTGTGGTCGGCACCACACGCGAGAGACAGGAATATAGCGGGAGAGGCACATGGCATAGCTGACATTATACATGACTGTGTACGGGGGTTACACCAATGTATGTACACTTTACACCACGGTGGGGATAGACAGGTCTTATACCATGGTCGGAATATACAGGTCTAACACCATAGTCGGGATATACACATCTAACATCATGGTTGGGATATACAGGTATAACATCATGGTTGGGATATACAGGTGAGTTAGGTTTTATGCCGCTTTTAGCAATATTCCAGCAATATCACGGCGGTGGGACACCAGAAATGGGCTTCACATATTGAACCCATGTGGGGAATCGAACCCGGGCCTTTTTGGTGTGACGAGCAAACACTTTATCCACTAAGCTACCCTACCGCCCCGGAGATATACAGGTCTAACACCATGGCCGTGATATACACGTCAAACATCATGGTTGGGATATACATGTCTAACATCATGGTTGGGATACACATGTTTAACATCATGTTTGGGATATACAGGTCTAATATCATGTTTGGGATGTAAAGGTCTAACATCATGGTCGGGATATACAGCTCTAACACCATGGTCGGGATATACAGGTCTAACACCATGGTCGGGACACACAGGTCTAACATCATGGTTGTGATATACAGGTCTAACACCATGGTTGGGATATACAGCTCTAACATCATGGTTGTGATATACACATCAAACATCATGTTCGTGATATTCATGTCTAACACCATGGTCGGGACATGGAGGTCTAACACCATGGTCGGGACATACAGGTCTAACACCATGGTTGGGATATACAGATCTAATACCATGGTCGGGATATACAGGTCTAACACCATGGTCGGGATATACAGGTCTAACACCATGGTCGGGACATACAGGTCTAACACCATGGTCGGGATATACAGGTCTAACACCATGGTCGGGATATACAGGTCTAACACCATGGTCGGGACATACAGGTCTAACACCATGGTTGGGATATACAGGTCTAACACCATGGTCATGGGGATATACAGGTCTAACACCATGGTGGGGGATATACAGGTCTAACAACACCATGGTCGGGATATACAGGTCTAACACCACACAGGTCTAACATGGTTGGGATATACAGGTCTAACACCATGGTCATGGGATATACAGGTCTAACACCATGGTCGGGACACAGGTCTAACACCATGGTAGGGGTCTAACACCATGGTCAGGGATATACAGGTCTAACACCATGGGGATATACAGGTACAGGATATACAGGTCTAACACCATGGTCGGATATACAGGATCAGGATATACAGGTCTAACACCATGGTCGGGATATACAGGTCTAACACCATGGTCGGGATACACAGGTCTAACACCATGGTCGGGATATACAGGTCTAACACCATGGTCGGGACATACAGGTCTAACACCATGGTCGGGACATACAGGTCTAACACCATGGTCGGGTCTAACACCATGGTCGGGATCACACAGGTCTAACACCACATGGTCGGGATATACATACAGGTCTAACACCATGGTCGGGACACACAGGTCTAACACCATGGTCATGGGGATATACAGGTCTAACACCATGGTCATTATCACAGGGGTCGGGATATACAGGTCTAACACACCATGGTGGGATATACAGGTCTAACACCATGGTCGGGATATACAGGTCTAACACCATGGTCGGGATATACAGGTCTAACACCATGGTCGGGATATACAGGTCTAACACCATGGTCGGGACACACAGGTCTAACATCATGATCGGGATATACAGGTCTAACACCATGGTCAGGATATATAGTATGATTAGAAAATTTTGAGAATTTGAGGAATATGTTTAATTGGATATCTAGTATAAACAACCTTGACCAGCTATCAAGTGCTTGGTTTCATTCTAGATAGACAACTCTGTTAATCCTTTTTCATTAGTTTGTGAAGAGTTATCACCCTTTGTTTACTTGCTAGCGGACGACATTTTCAGTGATCCTCAGTATGGATGATTTAGAGAAGAGGAAGTTGATTTTAGAGAATTATAACAAGGACATCAGATCAGCTAAAGTGATTTCAATTAGAACAGGCATCCCTTTATCCACTGTTTATCGTGTTTTGAAAAATATTGCACATGGATATTGGATCGAGCACCAGGCAGGCACAGGTAGGCCCAGAAAATTGACTGTCGGTGACAGGAGGCGGCTTGGTATTCTTGTTTCTAAAAACAAACGAAGGAGTTAAGAAAACTTAAGGCTGGATATGATTGCTAGAGGAACTGTGGCTGTCTGTAAGGAGACAATTAGAGCTGCATACAATGGGTTGGCAGAAAAGTCGAGGAATTCCATCACCGATCATGAAACCTGAACAAAAGGAGCAAAGGTTGACTGACTGACTGACTGAGTTTAGTTTTATGCCGCTTTTGGCAATATTCCAGCAATATCACGGCGGGGGACACCAGAAATGGGCTTAACACATTGTGCCCATGTGGGGAATCGAACTCGGGTCTTCGGCGTGACGAGCCAACGCTTTAACCACTAGGCTACCCCACCGCCCCGAGCAAAGGTTGAACTGGTGCTTACAGCATAGAAATTTTAACTGGGACAATGTGATTTTCTCAGATGAAAGTTCTGTGTAGCTGTTTCCTAATACACTGAAATTCTGGACCAAACAAAGTGAAAAACCTTTGTATCAGCGCCCAAAGTACAGTCCGAAATTTAACGTGTGGAGTGGCATATCTGTGTTGCCCCTCTGTGTATTTGAAGAGAATATGAACAGTGAGCGGTACACAGATATTCTCGAGGGACATTTACTTCCATCTGCTCCTGTGTTTTATGGAAATTTTTGGATTTTCCAGCAGGACAATGACCCAAAACATCGTTCAAAGCATTCACAGGCCTGGTTTCGGACCCAAAATATGACATCATTAGATTGGCCAAGCTATAGCCCTAACCTAAATCCAATAGAAAATGTTTGGGGACTTATGAAGGAAGGTGTCAATAAGAAAAATCTGACAAATATTGCTGAAATGAAAGAAGAGGTGGTCCGATATTGGGACAACATGGACCACGACTTTCTTCTTTGATCAGTAGTATGCCCCGCCGCATTGAAGCCTGCACTGCTGCCCATGGTGACTTGACAACATACTTACTGTTCACCTGTCTTTGAATCTGGAGTTATGTTCTGCTAATATTCATATTTAATACGTGAGTAAATGAGTGAAAAATATTTAAAAATTACAATCTTTAAATTCTCAATAATTTCTGGTTGTACAGGTCTAACACCATGGTCAGGATATACAGGTCTAACATCATGGACGGGACACACAGGTCTAACATCATGGTCGGGATATACTGGTCTAACACCATGGACTGGACACACAGGTCTAATATCATGGTTGGGATATACGATCTAACACCATGGTCGGGATATACAGGTAAAATATCATGGTCAGGACATACAGGTCTAACATCATGGTCAGGATATACAGGTCTAATATCATGGTCGTGATATACAGGTCTAACACCATGGTCGTGATCTACAGATCTAACATCATGGTCGGTCGTGATATACAGGTCTAACATATACAGGTCTAACACCATGGTCGGGATATACAGGTCTTACACCATGGACGGAACACACAGGTCTAACACCATGGTCGGGATATACAGGTCTAACACCATGGACGGGACACACAGGTCTAACACAATGGTAGGGATATACAGGTCTAACACCATGGTCGGGATATACAGGTCTAATCCTGGTCGTGATATACAGGTCTAACATTATGGTTGGGATATACAGGTCTAACATCATGGTCGTGACATACAGATCTAACATCATGGTCGTGAAATACAGGTCTAACATATACAGGTCTAACACCATGGTCAGGATATACAGGTCTAACACCATGGTCGGGATATACAGGTCTAACACCATGGTCAGGATATATAGGTCTAACACCATGGTCGGGACATACAGGTCTAACACCATGGTCGGGACATGGAGGTCTAACACCATGGTCGGGACATACAGGTCTAACACCATGGTCGGGATATACAGGTCTAACACCATGGTCGGGACATACAGGTCTGACACCATGGTCGGGATATACAGGTCTAACATATACAGGTCATACACCATGGTCAGGATATACAGGTCTAACACCATGGTCAGGATATACAGGTCTAACATCATGGTCGGGATATACAGGTCTAACATATACAGGTCTAACACCATGGTCAGGATATACAGGTCTAACATCATGGTCGGGATATACAGGTCTGACATATACAGGTCTAACACCATGGTCAGGATATACAGGTCTAACACCATGGTCAGGATATACAGGTCTAACACCATGGTCAGGATATACAGGTCTAACATCATGGTCAGGACATATAGGTCTAACATATACAGGTCTAACACCATGGTCGGGATATACAGGTCTAACATATACAGGTCTAACACCATGGTCAGGATATACAGGTCTAACATCATGGTTGGGATATACAGGTCTAACATATACAGGTCTAACACCATGGTCGGGATATACAGGTCTAATATATACAGGTCTAACACCATGATCAGGATATACAGGTCTAACACCATGGTCAGGATATACAGGTCTAACATCATGGTCAGGACATATAGGTCTAACATATACAGGTCTAACACCATGGTCAGGATATACAGGTCTAACACCATGGTCAGGATATACAGGTCTAACATCATGGTCGGGATATACAGGTCTAACATATACAGGTCTAACACCATGGTCAGGATATACAGGTCTAACATATACAGGTCTAACACCATGGTCAGGATATACAGGTCTAACACCATGGTCAGGATATACAGGTCTAACATCATGGTCAGGACATATAGGTCTAACATATACAGGTCTAACACCATGGTCAAGATATACATGTCTAACATATACAGGTCTAACACCATGGTCGGGATATACAGGTCTAACATATACAGGTCTAACACCATGGTCAGGATATACAGGTCTAACATCATGGTCGGGATATACAGGTCTAACATATACAGGTCTAACACCATGGTCGGGATATACAGGTCTAACATATACAGGTCTAACACCATGATCAGGATATACAGGTCTAACACCATGGTCAGGATATACAGGTCTAACATCATGGTCAGGACATATAGGTCTAACATATACAGGTCTAACACCATGGTCAGGATATACAGGTCTAACACCATGGTCAGGATATACAGGTCTAACATCATGGTCGGGATATACAGGTCTAACATATACAGGTCTAACACCATGGTCGGGATATACAGGTCTAACATATACAGGTCTAACACCATGGTCAGGATATACAGGTCTAACACCATGGTCAGGATATACAGGTCTAACATCATGGTCAGGACATATAGGTCTAACATATACAGGTCTAACACCATGGTCAGGATATACATGTCTAACATATACAGGTCTAACACCATGGTCAGGATATACAGGTCTAACATATACAGGTCTAACACCATGGTCAGGATATACAGGTCTAACATATACAGGTCTAACATCATGGTCAGGATATACAGGTCTAACATATACAGGTCTAACACCATGGTCGGGATATACAGGTCTAACATCATGGTCAGGACATATAGGTCTAACATATACAGGTCTAACACCATGGTCAGGATATACAGGTCTAACACCATGGTCAGGATATACAGGTCTAACATATACAGGTCTAACACCATGGTCAGGATATACAGGTCTAACATATACAGGTCTAACACCATGGTCAGGATATACAGGTCTAACATATACAGGTCTAACACCATGGTCAGGATATACAGGTCTAACATATACAGGTCTAACACCATGGTCAGGATATACAGGTCTAACATATACAGGTCTAACACCATGGTCGGGATATACAGGTCTAACATCATGGTCGGGATATACAGGTCATACAGCATCCTAGCAGAAGTCATCAATGTCCTGTGCTCTTCTCGTCAGTGAAGCTGTCATTCAGTTTGCTTCAAACAACTTCCACAGTATGGAAGGTGTAGACCAACCACAAACAAAGGACATTTGTGTGTAAGCTTAATGTTGTGGACTTGGGTCCAGAAACATGCTTGTACTTGGAAACAGATGCAAGCATGGACCAATGGTATAAAAGACTGGTGGTGTATGTGACATACACTAGTCATGTTTCGAGATGTTTTCTACATGCGAGTTAGTGAAAGCCCATACACAGGTATGATGATAAAACTGAATTTGAATGTTTTGAATAAAGTGGTCCACAGCTGTTAACCTGGTCTACCATTACAGTAATGCCACATGTGCCATGTGCCCCTCCCCCTGAGTCGCGTGTGGGGTGGATCTCAGTGCCAGACTCACCCACAGCAGGGGCAATACCTCCGACTGATGCCGGCCCAGGGATGTTCCCTGCTACTGCCGCTGCTTGTGCCGCCGCCGCTGCCTGGGCTGTAGCTGCTTGTTGCTGCATCTGACGATGGCACTGACGTATGTCGAACACCTGTGTTAATAAGGAACATTTATGAGAAAAAGTCACAAATCTGAAAACAAGACCGCCAGGTAGTCAAACACATAGAACAAATGCATCATGTAAAGTGACAAACTGGGAAACAAATCTCTACACCTTACCCGTATAATGTGTCAAGCACTTGCCTCACAATCAAGCACACCTACACCTGTCAAGAACCTTCTACCCAATATGTCACAGAAGTGCATAGAAAACATACCAAGATCCTGCACTAACAATCAATCAAGTCTCACGTTAAGACACATGGATATTTAAAGTACAAACACCTGACAAACCATCAAACAAGGGAAACAACTGACATGTAAAGCACCTGCAAAACATGTGACAAAAATAGCATGACTAGCACTTTCAAACAAGTGTCATCACTCACTTGAAAAACACCTGTCAAAGAAGTGTCACCACTAACATGACAAGCACCTGTCAAACATTTGACTCCACTAACATAACAAGCACCTGTCATTCACCTGATGAAGGGGCAAGAACTAGCCCAGAAATGTCATGTTGTAAATAGTAAAGAAGTTTAAATCCATACCACACGTTATGTTACCGTCCAACTTCTAAGTGCCCATCAAACATCTAACAAGTACCTGTCAAACAATTGACACCACTAACAAAACAAGCACCTATCAAACAAGTGACACCACTAACATAACAAGCACCTATCAAACAAGTGACACCGCTAACGTAACAAGCACCTGTCAAACAAGTGACTCCATTAACATAACAAGCACCTGTCAACAACACCTGTCACATACATTTCCCTGATGCATTGCAAGGGTATATTTGTAACCACCGTCAAGTTTGTTACCCACCTTGATGTAAGCACTAGGGTATATCTTATGCACAGCGTCCCCTGGAGCTCGCCCCGCCTCTCTGTCCAGGTAGTAGCTCTGAACGAAGACGCTGTGGTCACTGACGCACCTGATCCACACGTCTCCCTCACCACGGTAGTTTAGGTGCACACCTTTACCTATGTGCAGTCTGAAACAGTCACATGGTGGAACGCTCAGTCAGGTGTAGTTTACAACAACAGACAGCTAGCAGTTTAAGTTTGGACTAACATGTTTGAACTATTTGCATTGTGAGTGATAACAAAGACTTGACATTCACAGTTAACACTGTTGAACTGGTTGCATTACGAGTGAGGACAAAGACTTGACATTCATAAAATGTCAGAGTAAGTTCAGACTTCCATGTTTGAACTGGTTGCATTGTGAGTGATGAAAGAGAAGGGACATTAATAAGATGTCCGAGTTCAGGTAAACACAGTTGAACTGACTGCATTGTCAGTGATGAAGTTCAGACTAACATGCTTCGACTTAATGCACTGTGTCTGTCTGTTGTTTAACACGACACTCAGCAATATTCTAGCTATATGAAGGAAGTCTGTGAATAATCAAATCAGAAGCAGACAATCAGGTGACTGACATCATGAGCATCGATCTACGCAATTAGGATACGATGACATGTGTCAACATGTCAGCAAGCCTAACCACCTGAGCCTCTTAGGGCAATCATGGGTATCTGAAGGCCAATTCTAACCCCGATCTTCACGAGTGGGGTGGAGTTTGAATGATGACCCGGACTGGTTACACAAGAGGAGCAGGGATGGGGTGGGGGAGGGAAAGGGAGGAGAGGGGGGTTGTTGTTGTAGTCATCGCCTCACCTGGCTCGCTCACTAGCCTCTGTCCGGTGTACGTTGGACAGCTGGCCGAGACAGAACCTGTCGATGCTGGAGGGGTCGGTGTAGCCATCGACTGTGACGGTGGAGCAGCTGTATGGGACCTTGAACGTCTCCCCGACCTGCTGGTCCAACTCGAAGTAGGTGATGGTACACCAGAACTCGGGAGCTGATGGAATCAATTCAACACGTAACTCTTAAACTGAGGTTAGGCAAGGTGAAAAATGACGTTTAACAGTTAAGTGAGTGCGTTTAGGTTTTCGTGGCTTTCAGCTATATTCCTGCAATATCACTGCGGGTGAAACCAGAAATGGGCTTCACGCACTGTACCCATGTGGGGAACCAAACCAGGGTCTTCAGCGTGACGAGCAACCACTCAAACCACTAGGCCACCCCACATAAGGTTACATAAAGCCATGCATACATGTGTCTGCATGTACTATGCTGGTTATATGAAGCTTGTGGCAATGATACCATGCTGGACAGGGATACTTCACTGACACATACAACTGCAAGTTGCTAGTCCTTGTTTGTTTTCCTCACTGCCCAGCGTTAGGCAAGATTAAAACATGTTCCATCTTCAACAAGACACAGCCAGCAAACTAACCACTAGCCCAAAGCAGAGAGAATGATTGTGGTTTTTCCGTGACTTTTAGCAATATTCTAGCAGAATCACAACCGGTGGCAATATATACGGGCTGTACACCTGGTATTCACTGATAGAATCGAACCTGGGCTTTCGGCTTGACAAGCAAACACTTTTAACCACTCTGCTATCTGACCACCCTGTCTTCTGTTAATTTGTAACAGACAACTTGAGAGAATGTTAAAAGTAACGACTTGTGGTGTTCCGATTAATTGAAATAATCGAAGATTGGTCACAGTGACCAAACGACCAAGCAATCGATCATATTTTCTCATAATCAAACACAACTACTGTTCTAGTCTTTGACTGACTGACTGACTGAGTATGGTTTTACGCCGCTTTTACCAATATTCCAGCAACATCACGGTGGGGGAAACCAGAAATGGGCTTCACACATTGTACCCATGTGGGGAATCAAACCCGGGTCTTCGGCGTGACGAGTCAACACTTTAACCACTAGGCTACCCCACCGCCCCATTCTAGTCTTTGAAACACTTGACTATGGAACATATCTTCAAAGTTGTGAGGGCCTGAAAACCTGTTTAATGCCTCGAAACTTCACTAACTGAAATATATATCATGACTGAATATTTCTTGAAGACTCCAGGATGTTTATGTTCATGATATACTAGTCATCACTTTAAAGTAGCAAGTTGCATCATGTTATACATATCTGCAGTAACAACCTGGATAGGAAAATCTGGTAAATGATGATTGTTCGTTATTAATGAAGCACTCATCAATTGTGAGATTTCAACCAATTCCTAACACTAGTCACGACATTGGCCACTGCTTCACCTGTCACTCAGCCTCCATATAGCTGATGTCAGGACAACCCCCAATCCCTTCCCCCAATGAAAAGGAAGATGGCCAAACCAGGCCACCTGATCTCTTCAAGTAGCCTGTTACAAGTTGCAAGAGTCACAGGGATCTATCCCGTGTTTCCGTGGTGACTCTATTTTGTTTGTAGCTTGTAGTTAAATGCCCAACACAGCAATATTCCAGCTAATCTGGACCAGACAATCCTGTGATACACATCACTTACACGAATCTATGCAATTTGGATCCAGTCATATGAATCAACCAAATAAGCAAGCCTGACCATCCAACCCAGTTAGTCGTCTCTCATGACAAGCCTGGGTTGCTGATGACCGATTCCGAACCTTATCTTCACAGATGGCCACCAACCCGGTTAGTCGTCTCTCATGACAAGCCTGGGTTGCTGATGACCGATTCCGAACCTTATCTTCACAGATGGCCATCCAACCCGGTTAGTCGTCTCTCATGACAAGCCTGGGTTGCTGATGACCGATTCCGAACCTTATCTTCACAGATGGCAGTAGGGGCAAACAGACGTACGTGGTTGGCTGGTGAGTGGTGGCAGAGTCTGCATGTCGGACTGGATCTGGTTGTTGTTCCCTGTAACAAACACACGGGCGTACACTTGGCTGTCGCTCGCAGACCGACATCTGTCCAACATCTCGCAGACAGTGTGAGACATTTCTCAGTCAAACATCTTGCAAACAGTGTCAAATCTCCTAAACAGTGTCAAATCTCCTAAACAGTGTTTAACAACCCCCAAAAATCTCAATGTAAAACATCTCACAATGAGTGTTGAGCATCTTTCAAACAGTCATACATCAGACAGAGTCAAACATATCTGGGATAGTCCATAATCTTGCCAAACAGTGTTAAACATATCACAAAATGAGTCAATCATCTTGCAGAACCAAACATCTTACAATGTCAAACATCTTGCAAATACTGTCAAACATCCTTGAATCAATTTCAAACTTCTTCAAAATAATGACAGACATCAAAACAATAAGTGACATCTTCAATAGTGTCAAAAATCTTGCAAACAATGTCAAACACATTGCTTACAGTTTCAAGCATCCTCCAGACAGTCAAACATCTTGCAAGCAATGTCAATCATATCCTCAAACATTACAGTAACACTGTCAAACATTTGACGAAACATGCAACTTACTAAAAGTTTGATCTGACCCCAATTTGAATAGTAGTCAGTAATACTGCGAGTGTAAAGAAATCACTAGTAAACGGGATAAACTGTTGTTAACATCATGCACTTGTTAATATACCATTCGAAAAAAGTAGGGGATATTGGATTTACAAGATTGATAAAATGCAAATGATGAAGCCAAGGAGGAAACAGATGATGAAGAGAAATTAAGGGAAAATGTGACAATTTATTCCATTCCTTTGGAAATGTTTCATCTGTATGGATATACATTTGGATTATATATACTTTTTCTCATATGCATTTGCATTGGCTAGTGGTATGCTCGAAAAATGGAATATCCCCTACCGTTTTTGAATGGTATACAATTTCTGCTGAAAGGACTATTGACATATAACACAATCAACGTGTTTGGTTGAGGGTTACTCCACTGATTCTGGGGTCATACTTACAGAACTGTGGGGCCGACATGTTCTGTGTGTAGGTGGCAGTATTGCTGCCCACCCACGTTGTTGTCGAGCCTGCAACAGACACAGCACACCAGCGGTCAGCCACGCCCACTGACCACACCCCCACCATGCTGGTACAAGTGGCATAAGTCTCACACGCAGAACAGCAAGCAACACTTACAACAATCTCACCAGATCCTGGCCAGCCAGAACTACACATCAAGTCTCAGTATCTGGGGGGCTAGCAGCTGTCTACCAACCAAAGTCCGGCAAATGCAGGGAAGAGTGTTACTCTGTTCAAACTGCTAACTTCAGTATATGTTAATATGATTTAATATTGCTTTTAGTTCAACATTCTGTAAGTAGGCACAGAAGCCTCACCAGGCAATACTTATTAAGTCACGGTTTTACCTTGACATATACATTTAGCAATCCACAAGGAGTGAGTGAGTTTAGTTTTATGCCGTACTCAGCAATGTTCCAGCTATATGGTGGCGGTCTGTAATAATCGAGTCTGGACCAGACAATCCAGTGATCCCTATTACTAACTTGACAAGTAGTTAAAGGGGACATGAGGATATGTAAAGTAATGACGTGGTGTAGCCTACTGTACTGCAAAACTTGATAATGACTTTAATTACAGGACTACATATATTTTTTGTCAAGAATTTGGTACAGTGAATATTAATGTACAACCCCGAGGTTGCAATATGTATTTCTTGATGTCCATTCTATCCATGCATGTGTATGACATGTGGATGCATATTTCTACTTAAATACAAGGTGTGTGGTTAGTTTCTGAACAGCTAGTACATTTCAAAATGAAACTCTTTTGCTACCTTCAAATATTGCTGCCAAAGTTTCTTTTTGATAAAAAACAACTAAAAAAACCCCTCTTTTAATTTCTTTTGTGAGTTGGAGAAGTATGAGATATTATTGCCAGCCATATAAGTTCTGATTACACTTGATTGTCTGTTTTACAATGGTTATGTTTTTAGCACTATTTTCAGGTACAAATTTTGCGATGAATCTGGTTGGGGGCCACCTGCAACACCATGTGTTGAGTTCTCAGCAGATTACAATACAAACTGTTTGCTAGAGGTGACAAAAAACTATTACAGCAAATTGTTTAAATATAAAACTATCTAAGTCATAATGAGAAACTTTAACCGCGATCAAAGCAGTTCAATATCGGCGTTCTAAATACGAAGGCGTTGAATACTTCACACGGCGGGACTGTAGCTGAGCAAATTCTGATGTAAGGAGGAATGTTTGATACAGAGCAGAGCTTAGTAACATTCCGTTTATAGTGAGCGAGTTTGGTTTTACGTCACTTTTAGCAATATTCCAACAATATCATGGTAGGGGACACCAGAAATGGGCTTCACACACTGTACCTATCTGGGGAATCGAACCCAGGACTTCAGTGTGACGAGTGGACACTTTAACCACTCAGCTACCCCACAGTAACCAACCAGTGGTGGATATTACCAGCACCTTCCCATGTCACCATGACTACCTGAGTGAGTGAGTGAGTGAGTGACTGGGTGAGCATGAGAGGTTTTACGCTGCTTTCACCAAAATGACGGCAGGGGAAACCAGAAATGGGCTTCACACATTGTACCCATGATCACTTCTGAAGTTGTATCAATTAGCTCCGTATCTGCACCTGCGAAGATTGATCGATAAAATGACCCGAGTGTTTCAACAAGACTTGAACTGAAAGTATGGTCCTTATTGACCTGCATAGTTGTATTTCTGGACGTTTTATGTCACCACTGCAAACAATTTGTAACAAATTTGAAAACTTACTGTGTAAATACTGTGTGATAGAAATAAAAAACTTGTAGTTAGGGGTGACGACAAGAGTAATTTTAGGATGATATCTATCTCTGCCAAACACTGGCCACTGAACATGTGTGTATATGTTCACAGTACAGGTGCTTGTACTTACTGGCTGGGTAATGACTGAGGTTGGCAGAGTTGGCCGGAGGTGCTGGGTTGTTGAAGGTGTCTACTAGTTGGGGCGAGCCATGGTTGAACCTACACCACACAGAGAGCCATGGCTGTGACTTATACCACTTGAACCTACACCACACAGACAGACAGACGGAGACAACAGTTACTACCCACGATACTACAGTTACGACGGAGATGTGCCCTGTCTTACTACAGTCTGTTATACATACAGTTACTACCCACGGACGACACAGATTTACTTACACGGAGATGTGCCCTGTCTTACTTACAGTCTGTCATACATACAGTTACTACCCACGGATCTAACTTTACACGGAGATGTGCCCTGTCTTACTACAGTCTGTCATACATACAGTTACTACCCACGGACTGACACGGAGATGTGCCCTGTCTTACACGGAGATGTGCCCTGTCTTACTACGGTCTGTCATACACCACAGTTACTACCCACGGACGACTGACACGGAGATGTGCCCTGTCTTACTACAGTCTGTCATACATACAGTTACTACTACCCACTTTACTGGAGATGTGCCCTGTCTTACCACATACATACAGATGTGCCCTGTCTTACTACAGTCTGTCATACATACAGTTACTACCCACGGACCATACACGGAGATGTGCCCTGTCTTACTACAGTCTGTCATACATACATACTAGTTACGGACCACACGGAGATGTGCCCCTGTCTTACTACAGTCTGTCATACATACAGTTACTACCCACACGGAGATGTGCCCTGTCTTATTACAGTCAGAGATGTGCCCTGTCTTACTACAGTCTGTCATACATACAGTTACTACCCACGGGATGCCCTGTCTTACTACAGTCTGTCATACATACAGTTACTACCCACGGATTCCATTAACGGAGATGTGCCCTGTCTTACTGGAGATGTGCCCTGTCTTACTACAGTCTGTCATACACACAGTTACTACCCACGGACGCATACACAGAGATGTGCCCTGTCTTACTACAGTCTGTCATACATACAGTTACAGTTACTACCCACGGACGTTACGGAGATGTGCCCTGTCTACCATACAGTCTGTCATACACACAGTTACAGTTACTACCAACGGAGATGTGCCCTGTCTTACTACAGTCTGTCATACACACAGTTACCCACGGACGACACAGGGAGATGTGCCCTGTCTTACTACAGTCTGTCATACATACAGTTACTACCCACGGACGACACGGAGATGTGCCCTGTCTTACTACAGTCTGTCATACATACAGTTACTACCCACGGACGACACAGAGATGTGCCCTGTCTTACTACAGTCTGTCATACATACAGTTACTACACATGTGCCCTACTTACTACAGTCCATACGGAGTTACTACATCTACAGAGATGTGCCCTGTCTTACTACAGTCTGTCATACACACAGTTACTACCCACGGACGACACAGAGATGTGCCCTGTCTTACTACAGTCTGTCATACACACAGTTACTACCCACGGACGACACAGACAGGTGCCCTGTCTTACTACAGTCTGTCATACACACAGTTACTACCCCACTTGAGTCTGTCATACACACAGAGATGTGCCCTGTCTTACTACAGTCTGTCATACACACAGTTACTACCCACGGACGACACAGAGATGTGCCCTGTCTTACTACAGTCTGTCATACACACAGTTACTACCCACGCTGACGACACAGAGATGTGCCCTGTCTTACTACAGTCTGTCATACACACAGTTACTACCCACGGACGACACAGGATGTGCCCTGTCTTACTACAGTTACTACCGACGGACGACACAGATGTGCCCTGTCTTACTACAGTCTGTCATACATACAATTACTACCATCAGACTAAAAATAAAAAATTTGGATAGGCTGAAGCTGCACTCTAACATTGAGTGTTTCTGTGTCATAGTAATTCAGACAGGCATAAATTCTATTCTATCACTTGACCAGAGCTTAACTACATTTGTGCCAAATTTCTAACATGGCATAAACTTTTATACCATTCAAACTGCTTCTGTCAATGGGCAATAACAAAAGTCAATTGTGTCTCCGATTTGTGGGTTATCTCCCTTGACAGAAGGCAAATAACCCACAATTCCCTGCCACGCATGACATATTATCTGTGACAACGTCGATTCATACTGCAGTCGTTTCTCCTGAGCAATCTCACAGGCAGCTTCCATATAACAGATCAATAACAGACCAACACCGGTCTTGCTATATATCTTTCAAGGTTATAAAACATAATAAAGATAAAACAGGGGCAAAACAATACATGATATATTTAGAGCTGGAGTCACCCAAATACTTTGAGTTATATATATTAGTGTTGAAAACAACCCTGAAATCCTATTGGTTCAGCTATACAGCGATCAAGAAGAGAAAAAGTTGTACAAATTGAAAAGCTGGGTTACGGAGGCGGTTGTGAGCCTCCAGCTGGAGAAATGACTGCAGATGACAGCAAGACACAACTTACCTTGTCAATAAACACATCAACAATTCACAATTCAATTACCTCATATCTCAATCAAGTACTTCATTAATTCATCATTTTCACACAATACAAATATATCACTCTGCAATATTTCTCAGAACATAAGACGTGTACAGGATGAGAGTCGAGTTTTGTGTGAATCCAAAAATCTACATGCAGCAGCACCAGGCTTGTTACCTCGTGCATCATGATGCCATTCTATACTGACAAACACCCTGACCCTTCCTTGTCTTACTTGGGACATCACGTGATCACCTCCATTATTTGGGACATCACGTGATCACCTCCATATATGGGACATCACGTGATCACCTCCATATATGGGCATCACGTGATCACCTCCATATATGGGACATCATGTGATCACTTCCATTATTTGGGACATCACTTGATCACCTCCATATATGGGACATCACATGATCACGTCCATTATTTGGGACATCACGTGACCACCTCCATATATGGGACATCACGTGATCACTTCCATTATTTGGAACATCATGGGATCACCTCCATTATTTGGGACATCACGTGATCACATGATTATTTGGGACATCACGTGATCACCTGATTATTTGGGACATCACGTGATCTCCTCCATCAAGTCT